GTTAAATCTGCTTACATGAAAGAAAACTTCCATTCCAGAACCTCTTATTCAATCAAAAGGAGTCAAACCAAGAAATTTGTATGTATATTGTGCCTTTGATCTGTGGTAATTCCTCATTTTAAATGACATTTCTTAAACTTTAGCTCAGCTTTTATAGAGATATGTTTATATGAATAATTCAGCATGTTTTTGATGGAAATGATCAAGTATGATTGAGTCAAGCCAGAGCGAGGCACTATTTAATAATATAATGCTTTTAAAATCAATGCTATTATTTGGAATATGGTCACTAAAACAAGAGAATTACCTTTAATTGTTCAAAATGACTATAAAGTTATGGTCAAATAAAACTATTTCCATCATTATCAGACTTAACATCCGTTTCTTTGTATTTTGTCAAATACATGTAAAAAACAATTTATCAAACTCATACAGTTGTTACTTTCTTCAAACAAATTTAAATAGTTTACATAGATGTATTTACTGCTTGGTAGACGAGTCCCTCAAATAGTAGCTTAAGGTGTGTCAGGGTGATGTCATCATCTGGGCTTTGCCTAAGTTTTACTCATTTCATGTAAAAGTTCATCTGGTAGTACAGGGGATTCAAAACTATTTTGCAGTACTGCATCAAGGCTTTAAGGTAACATATTATATATAAAATACAGTGATAGGACAAATGTTCATTCTTTATATGTTACAGTGAAAATAAACAGGATGAAAACTGTTTTTAATTATAAAGTGAGCTAATTAGGAGAACTAATCTGCTCCAAGAACTCCTATAAGAAAGTAATCAATAACCGCTGTGTTTTTATAAGAAGCTGCTGATGACGGACAGATTAAAGAGGCTATACTAAAGTGTTATTGAAAGAAACTGCATGGATTTTTTTTTTTAAGTACAGTGATGAAAAACTAATTAGATAATTAATTTTTTTTCATTTATAATATTTGACAGGAATCTTCTTCTGTAAGGTTTCTGATGACGCCGCTTCTAATCATGGGGAAAATTATCTGAATAATAGCTTTTGCTGCATGATGCTTGCAGTGAGACCAGAGGAAGTAGCCAGAGCTTATTTTGGGAAGTGCTGTAAATAATGTATGAAATGGTTCTGAGGAAAAGATCCCAGTTTTCTGCTGTGAGGCTAATTTTTAGTTTCTATGAAAGTGCATTGAGTTTTAATAGCAAAACATATTTTGTAACTGAAATACCCTTCAATATTCTTTGGAACTTTAGGTTAAAATGTGTAAGGAGCATAAGAGCATAAAGAGCAAAGGTATATGACCTTTAATCTAAGCGCACTTTACAAATACCTCTTAGAAAATCCCTGGCAAAACACTTGTTGGTTACACTGCTGTTTATATAAACACAACTTTAACAAGCTCCTTGGGGCCTTAGCACTACAGAATTTATCTAAAATTGAGTAAAAATGTCTTCAAATAAGTATGTTTACCCTTAATTTGAGTAGGTAAATAAAATAATCTGCAAGTTTAATAAGTATTTCTTTCTTAAAATAAAATAATTAGATGTTATGCAATTGGAATAAGTCTAAAAAAATTGAAAATAATTGGAAAAATGTTTTACTTACCTGCTAAATTAAAGATAATGCACTTATTTTAAGGAAACCTGGCTTAGATTGTATTTTTTTTTTTTTTTGCAGTTAAAGAGAAACAGATGCAGGACATCCTACATCCTTCAACATGGGTCATAAGATGTGTTTACATGAATTCCTCCATCCGACTCATCTGTAGTGTTTGCTGTGGGTTTGATCTTAGTCTCACCTGACTAAAGTAGGTGGCTCTAATCAGAGTCCCTGCAACCTTCAGAAACTTTTCTATGCAGTTTTTAGGATGATTGGACAGAAAATAGTTTTCTGACATACTTTGAATGGTTGTCACAGAAAAGTGAGGCTAAGATGCTACGTTGTCTAACATTATGATATATATCAACCCCCCATTGACTGCCTGTTTAATGCATGTGAGAGAAAGATAAATAGATCCCCTTCCACTGGGTTTTACAACTTTTAAATATTCCTCAGGCCAACTATGGAAAAGTTAAGGTGGGGGTATTTTCTTGTTGCAGCTTCCCGATTTATGAAGATTTACACACATCTCTCCTACTTAAACCTCATGTTCTCATGTCTTCTATTTAGAGAAGCAAAGCAAATTAGCCTCATGTGCCATGTCGTAATTGATCTAAATATCTAGGTGCTGGTAACAATTTTTAAAATTATTTTACTCAAATTGAAATATCTGATTTGAATTTTCCTAACAAAAATTCTAAATCCATCAAGATGTCAAACAGAGCAGAGCATCTCTTCAATAAAAGACCATTTCTGAAATATAACTTGAAATAACAAAACAAGAAAAAATAAGCAGATCTGCCTCATACAATCAAACAGGAATTTAAAAAACTTGACATTTAAAGTGATAAAATGGGAAAAAGTTCAGGGTATAAATAAATCCAAACCATTCTATGATCAGATTATCTCCTCATCAGGATTATTTAATTCAGAGACATGATGCTTTCATTAGTCCTCTGCCCAACTCAGTGACAGTGTGCGACTGTGTTACAATTCTCTATTGAGGTAAAATTTAAACCTAATTACCAGCCTCAAGGTTTTGGTGTTTTATTCTGGCTGAAGGATTCACACTCATTACAGCACACAAGGTTATAATCTCACTGGAAGTATCTAAAGTTAACAACCGATCTTAAACAATCAGAGGTCAGGTAGTGTAACGAGAGAAGAAACAAAGAAAAGCTGGTAGTAATAATAATGTTACATAACAGACAAAAATGTTAAGTTTAAATCAGTTGCTTACGGTTGAACCTCCTGCGATAAACATGAGGCCTCCAGGGTCGCCTTCGTATCCAGTTCAGACGTCGAGAAAGCTCCATTTTGACAAGCAGGTGTCAGTGAGGAAAATCCAGTCATCCCATCAAAGAACAGCGCAACTTTTCTTCTTCCCATCCCCAGTGTAGATATTCCCTCCAGTAAATATGTGGTCCCCAACTCAACCCAGACAACCTGGAAGTTCACAGCTAAAATATAAAATAAATACCTCTCCCCCTCCACCAGTGCTGTCTGATTTACACTCTGATAGGATGGAGCAGGTACAGCAGCAGCTACATTTCCCTGCAGCACCTCTATCTTTTATGCATGAGCCAGTGGAACCCAACTCCACCGGTTCTGGGGAGGAACACAGTTGGGCCACTGGCCGGGATCACAGCTCCTATCCACAGGCAGCGTCTGAGGTGCAGAAATGTGATGCCTCTGAGTTGAGCCTCCCAGAAGGGGAGCTGGTTGTACAGCAAGGCAAATTCGGTTACCTGAGGAGGCTGGGAGGTAGACAGGTGGATAAAGACACAAATACTGGTAGAAACTTTAGAGTTCCTTTAAAAAGTAGAACAGAATGAACTAAAACTATGAGATAGAACAGCATTGTATTTATGTTTTGAGGCCCTCAGCTTAAATATTAGAGAAAACAATTACAAACAGAATTATATGACAGACAGAAAATACAAAAACATCCTTAGAGAAAAAGTGGAAAAACTTGGAGAAACTTAAAGCAATATTAGAAGAAACATCATTAGAAAAAAGGTGTGATCATAGAAATATTATGTAGAACTATAGTGCAGCTTGTTCCAGAGCATAGCTCTAAAAGAATTTTTAAGTCTTTTGTTCTTGATTTATTGCTCCCGGCCCGTTTCCTAAAAGGAAGTAGGTTGCATGGTGTATAACCCTTGTTGGTGGGACCTGAATGTTATATCTAGCACTTTTGTGGATTAATGCACCATAAACTCATCCAGACCTATGTTATACAGCTCCCCTACCACCCTGTCACATGGAGCCACCATGTGACAAAAATAGAAAAACATTGAATTTGTTTTAATTTCCTGAGAAAGAAGACGTGTTGGGCCTTCCTCCCCAGGTGGGAGACGTTCTCAATCGAGGTCTGAGAAACTGTAGGTCTCATCTTTGTTCGAAATGAGAACTACAGCAGTGATGTTGTTTAACTTTAAAACCAAGTGTGTTTATTGGAAATCAGAGCAAAGAAAGCAGAGTACAAACTATACTTTCTGTGGCAGTTTCAGAACAACCTTAGAAAGGAGTCACTGGTCATCTTCTGTGCTGCTATTATTTAGTCTGTATTGTGCACATCTATCTCTGTGGTTAACTGGACGGGTCCAAATGATAACCTATTAGATCTGCAGAGAGGATCGTCTGGACTGACCTTTTCATTCAGGACTTATAAAAGGTCTAGGGTCAGGAAAAGGGCAGCGAACATCATCGCTGCAGGAAAAGGGCAGCGAACATCATCGCTGCTGACCCCACACATCCTGGACATAAACGCCTAAGAATTTTACCCTTAGATCTGTTCTGCTATGCATGATTTATAAACAGGAGAAGCCAGAGAAAAATGTGTTCCATTACCTCCGATTAACACTTAAAAGTAAGATTGATACCTTGGACCAATCCAGCCTCTTCATCTTAAGAAAAAAAAAATGGAAAAGGAAATACATTTATTATATATATATATATATATATATATATATATATATATATATATATATATATATCCATTAAATCTAACAAGAAAAACACCAAAGTTATGAGGTGTTGTTAAATATGCTTTTTCATTGTACCTTTTTCCGTCCATTTGGATTGGAGTTTGTAAGTTCTGATTTAGGGTTTACTTTGATGCAGTCCTGTGCAAAAATGAAATTCCGATTGATCTAAATCAATAAGGGTTGATTTTTTTCATTAAAGGTAATTTTCCTCAGGAATTTAACATTAAGTGTAAAGCAAACTGATTAACTGGAAAGATTATGGCCTTCAGACATTTGATGAAGGGTCCCAACATTATGTGCATCATTTAAAGAAGCAGTATTTTTTTATGTTATATTCAGAAATAAATTAAGCTAAACAGAAAAATCAGTTGTCACAAAACGTTAGGAAACACCGCCCTCTAGTGGCACAAAATCAGAATACGTAAAAGCAGTGTTTACAATGCACATTTTGTACTTTATTTGGATAAAACACAGAAAAGATCTCCTTTTTGGTGAAACATGACATACATTTAAACCACTTTCATCTTTTGGCTTGCCTATGTCAACAGAAAGGTAAAAACAAGAACCCAACATTTCCTCTAATAGAACAACAATTTTCAAACAAACATCTGGTTCCCAACTAAACAGCAATATTGCAACACTCACTTCCTATAGTTAAATATAAGCTGATATCTGTCTAATTTGATTTTATATGATACCATAATATATTCTTTAAAACAAAACTACTATAGTTTGGTTTCAATGACGACTGGAATCCCAGAGAAAGCAACTGAGCACACAAGCTTTATATGTGTTGGACATTCCCCATTGTGGAAAGTGCTGATGTAAATACAACTTATTGATTTCAGGAGGTGCAGCATCTGCTCTAGACAAGGGGAACAGCTGGTTACATTACAGCAACATTTCTATGATTGTGCTCAGGACGTTACAACAGCAAGCTGGAATATTTCACCACACTGAGAAGGCACAGAGTTCAGAAGCACCATGTTTCTACACACAGTTCAAACACCACACAGCTGCATAACACCAGAGTTGGTCCAAACATGGTTCTACTGGCTTTACAGTGAAAATCTGCAACATTAAATATCCTACAAAACCGGCAGAAACTGATCGGCCGATCCAGAGGTCTGCCTTCAAGCTTCATAATGAGAATAAAATCCTGAAATAATCAGTGACATGGGTGGGAAAAAATAGACAAAAGGATAAAAATAAGGCACAACTTTAACAAAAATATGGCTGACACTTAAATTCCTGATGGGTGGCTGCTCGTCTTCAAAACAAAAAGATGAAACGTCACGTTATACAAGAAAAACATCATGACGTACCTCACTTTAGCTAAGCTCATGAAAAATTCATATTATCTCTAAATATCTGCAGTCGGTGCTTGTGTTCAGGAACAAAAAACATTTGTGTGCAAAACTGTTTAAGATCTGAGGAGTGCTGGTGAGTTTCTGCACTCACTGCTGCTGCCATTTACATACTTCTTTAAAACGCTGTAAACTGGGACAGGTGTGAAACGTCCTGCTGCTGCTTTTCTGATCAGGAGAAGAGATGGGCAGGAAGTTTGTAAAGGTCATCTCTCCATCCTTATCTTTTTTTTCCTTTTAGTTGTATCCCTGGTGATTTGTAACCATTTCCTTCATAGGTCCATTCATCCATTCATTCACTCATTCTTCAAACAGTGCTTCGTATCAGGGTTCTTGGTCACAGCATCATTCAATCTTTTCTGGGTCTATGTTGTCCAGATCAATATCCGGCGAGGCCACGCAGCAGAAGCACAGTTTCTGGGTAAACAGAGAGATCTTATCTGTAGAGAAAGGAAAGAAAAACAGGAGAGAGATTAACAAACTATTTTAAGAACTAAAACAACAAATCGACTGATTTTGGATTTAAATTAACAACAGGCCTTAGAAAACCCAAGTTCTAATCATGTTTTAGAACACTCCTAAGGTATATCCACATGTCGAGCAATACTTCATGATTTAACATATGTAGACTTTACAATGCACCGAACTTTGAAACACTAATCTAAATCCCCTTACAGCTAACAACACTGTTCTGTTTGATTCCGACCAAAATAAGCTCCTTACTAGAGAAAGTTATTCAGAGGAACACTGGGGTGTTCATGCTAACGAGCTGGAGAACAGTTACATAACATAAAGCTGAAGTAATTCCGTTTTGCTTTGGAAAGTAAGCCTACAAATAACAACTCATATCTAAATGCTTAATAAAGTTAGCATAATATGAGATGGATATAAATCTCCCAACTATTTGTAATTTAAAAAAAGAAACATCCAATAAAAATAACATTTGAGATTCAATAGAACGGTTTCAGGTCAGTTATGATGGTAAATATCTCCATCTGCCAAAATCTCCAATATGTTTTATTTTCTTTTTTTCAAATTTAGAAGTTTATATACATTTGATCGTTATTTGGAGGAACCGTCTGGAGCTTTACAGATGGGATTGAATGTTCTTTGAATCCTTCCTCAACATTTTCTCTTAATTTCAGCCCATTGCAAACACTAGGGTTTAGACATAAGACCTAGCCTGATTAACCAGACTAAATGTGAGATTAAATGTGTAATTAAGTCTGGTCCCAATGAATGAAACATTGGAAGATTGTTGATGAGAACAACCCGTTGTTTTTCAAACCATGTCTATGCCTATTGGCCAACGCTCTGACCAATGAGTGCAACTGACAGAAAGCTGGTGATGGAGTGTAAACAAACAGCCTGTCGGTAAAACGGCGAATACGTCCTTGTTAAAAATGAATGAGTGTAGAGACTCTTCCTGCTCACATTTCAACGAAAACCCCAATTCTAATCCTTTCAAAACTAATTCCACAGCTGAGTCAAACGAGAACAGTTCAATAGTTGTTGCCATCTTCCTTGTTGTGCTCTCTCCAGCGTCGTGCAACTTTGTCGTCACGTCCTCAAAACCCCGCCCACTTTACATCCAGACATTCAAAACACATCTCTGCGTTGTGATTGGCCTGCCAGTTCTAGGGCCTGGGGCATTGATTGAGGCTAGACCACTCGTGGGCAAAAATGATTTTGGCCGCTGGCGGGTGGGGCTAGTTTACTAGGCTACATAAGACCAGCTTCCCAGACTTAAAGGCCACATTTATTGTTTGGTAAACTTTAAGGCAGCAGATAGACCACCGACAGATAACGTCCTGGAATACTATTTTATCCATATTTTATTGACAGTAGGAATATTATTTGTTTGAAAAAATATGCAATAATTCTATAATTTTGTGATGTTTGTGTGACAATATAGTGAAAACTTGTTTTTACTTAAAGCTACAGTGTGTAACTTTTAGCGACATCTAGCGGTCAGACTGCAGCAACATGAACATCTCCCCCCCTCCGCTTCTCCCCCCCAACAGTATGGCGAGCGTTACGGGACAAAATGTCTTCCACGACGTCCGCATAACCTACCTTCTCAAGTGGTGAGATTTGTTTACATAGATAATTTTACAGATAGTATTTCATTACTCTGTGTAGGGTATAGATTTCATGTAGACTTAAGATAATAAATATACCCGTTATTTTTTCTACATCGTTGTGACGTTTTGGCGATCTCGCAATCGCTAGTTTGTTGGCTCTGCGCTGCCGTAGCGCAAAGATGTCTGCCTCCATGGCTGCGAGACCCGCTCCTATGTAATTATAAATAACGAATTCTAAGGCAACGCAAATATTAAGGTTAAGAGGCTGAGCTCATAGATGATGATAAATAACATAGTTATGTACAATATATTACATTTCTGACTGTATATCCCTGTAATTATTACACACTGTAGCTTTAATTAAATTAAACTAGAATTATAGGCCTGTTCCAATATATATGCATACTCCGAGCAGGAGGAATCATCTAGAGTGAACTAAAAACAGACTGGCTACAGTGTTACCTACCATCATCCACTGCATGCGTTACACTGGATCTGGTTTAGCATAGGAGCAAACTCCCCGTACATAAAAAAAAGAACTGGATTATACACTCACCGGCCACTTTATTAGGTGCACCTGTCCAACTGCTCGTTAACACTTAATTTCTAAGCAGCCAATCACATGGCGGCAACTCAGTGCATTTAGGCATATAGACATGGTCAAGAGAATCTCCTGCAGTTCAAACCGAGCATCAGTATGGGGAAGAAAGGTGATCTGAGTGACTTTGAACGTGGCATGATTGTTGGTGCCAGAAGGGCTGGTCTGAGTATTTCAGAAACTGCTGATCTACTGGGATTTTCACGCACAACCATCTCTAGGGTTTACAGAGAATGGTCCGAAAAAGAAAAAACATCCAGTGAGCGGCAGTTCTGTGGGCGGAAATGCCTTGTTGATGCCAGAGGTCAGAGGAGAACGGCCAGACTGGTTGGAGCTGATAGAAGGGCAACAGTGACTCAAATAACCACCCGTTACAACCAAGGTGGGCAGAAGAGCATCTCTGAACGCACAGTACGTCGAACTTTGAGGCAGATGGGCTACAGCAGCAGAAGACCACACCGGGTGCCACTCCTTTCAACTAAGAACAGGAAACTGAGGCTACAATTTGCACAAGCTCATCGAAATTGGACAATAGAAGATTGGAAAAACGTTGCCTGGTCTGATGAGTCTCGATTTCTGCTGCGACATTCGGATGGTAGGGTCAGAATTTGGCGTCTACAACATGAAAGCATGGATCCATCCTGCCTTGTATCAACGGTTCAGGCTGGTGGTGGTGGTGTCATGGTGTGGGGAATATTTTCTTGGCACTCTTTGGGCCCCTTGGTACCAATTGAGCATCGTTGCAATGCCACAGCCTACCTGAGTATTGTTGCTGACCATGTCCATCCCTTTATGACCACAATGTACCCAACTTCTGATTGCTACTTTCAGCAGGATAATGCGCCATGTCATAAAGCTGGAATCATCTCAGACTGGTTTCTTGAACATGACAATGAGTTCACTGTACTCAAATGGCCTCCACAGTCACCAGATCTCAATCCAATAGAGCATCTTTGGGATGTGGTGGAACGGGAGATTCGCATCATGGATGTGCAGCCGACAAATCTGCGCCAACTGTGTGATGCCATCATGTCAATATGGACCAAACTCCCTGAGGAATGCTTCCAGCACCTTGTTGAATCTATGCCACCAAGAATTGAGGCAGTTCTGAAGGCAAAAGTGGGTCCAACCCGTTACTAGCATGGGGTACCTAATAAAGTGGCCGGTGAGTGTATGATGTCCAGTTAAAGTAGTTTAATGAATGACTCCAACTGTTTGGCCAAGATAGACCTAGAGGTCTATGGTCACTTAATTTGCCTTCATCCCTAATATTTTAGCTTCTTAGAATCGTGACGCAACCATGACTACATTTGTAACCATAAATGTGAACGGATAATTGTTTTTTTTTGTCTTTGCCAAGCAGCAAGTGTAGTTTTGTTTTGACTCAGACTGTCTGGGTTTATAAATCTGGTTCTTATTGGATAATCTCATCGTGTCTAACAAATGCTCTTGCATAAATAATTAATGCCTGTGTTTGTTTTTTTTAAGGAATCTGATAGGAGCGAGTTTAGGCTGAGTCGAGGTGTGTTTCAGGTTTTACAGTAGTAATCATCTAAAATTTCCCCACTTTCCTTGATGGGACTTAGCTGTTCATTTACAATTGCTTTTTAAACATCAAGCTTTCTACTAAAATATTCTGTCATGATTTGTGGACATTAAGATCTAAAGAGAAGCGTCATCTTCTGGTCAGACCCTGTAATTCAGTGAAAGGGTGGAGTCAGAGTGAAAATATTGCACGCCCAGGAGAAGGCAGGTTGCTGGAAGTTGGAGGGGATTTTGCTGGGAGCCTCAGGGGAGTAGGCTGCCATTCAGCTGGTGATTGATGGGAAGGGTCATTTGGAATGGCAGCTACTGTAGGTTTAGGAAAAAAAATTATTAGAAAGCAAAAAGGAAAGAACAACATAAATTCTGATTTCAAAAGAAGCTTTGAAAGGTTTGCCAACAAACTCAGTTTGGATCAATTCCTCAGACTTAATTTGATCTCAATAATCCAGATTAGAAGGTTCATTTCTAGGAATGTAAAGGGTAAAAAATCCCATCAGCAGCCAGTTTTTAAACCTGCGCTATAGATCATGCACCCGGCTTAGGACAAGGCTTTCATTGTTTAATAGTGGAACCATCTATAAGTCCTTATACCCATTGAAAACACCAACCTGGCCTTCAAACCGCACTCTGGAAAAACAATCAGTTTGCCCACATTTCTAAACCCAGGCTGGAAATAAGGAAACCATAAAAACTCTTTTAGCTCTTTCACATAACTAACCAAGCAATAAGCCCTATATCCTTCAAAGTGAGGGGGGTAGAAGTCCTCCTGCCTCCATTTCACCCTAAGACGCCATGAAGGGAAATTAGGCCTACATCAGCTAACTTGTGTGCTAGGCTTCACAGATCGAGGCTTTATGTAGCATAACGAAAACAAGTTGGTTCCTACCGAGCATTTTTCCAAGGAAGGCCGGTCTAGACGTGGGAGGTAGATGAACACAAATGAAGTAGACTGGAGCTCCAGAGAGAGCAACAGCAATCCCAACAAGAGAGTTGATGGTGTCACTGTAGAGCGGCACCACCACCAAAAAGATGCTGCACAAGCAGTAGACTATCGGGAAGAACAGGGACAGCTGCAGCAAAGAAAAACAAAAGCAAAATAATAAAATTAAAAACATTGAAATATCTTAGTCGCTATAGACAAAGATTAATCAGACACTAAAAACCATCATGTGACCACAGCAAAGACTGTAACTGAATGAATACATCGCCATTACAGGGGAATCAGTATTGTACTCTTAGTCCATGATAATGAAGTACTGCATACAGTTTTGGAGTTGCATGTCAACACGCCGGGACGTGCGAAGATACAGCGACTGTAGAAGTTTTCCTACCTTGACAGGACGCGGTAAATCTGGAGCTTTGAAGCGAAGGTAGATCTGACTGGCTATAGACATGCCGATGAACAGCCAGTAATTAAAACTAAAGTAGTTGATCAACCGGAACACATCAGGAACGGAGAGGTAAACTAAGGACATGGCACCCTTAAGGAAGAGAATTACACACGAGTGAGATACAGACAGCAGGGTAAGAGCAGAGTTTAGCTGCAGAGCTACTAAAATATTAAACAAACCAACATTGAACAGCAGGGCTGGAATCGGGGTGTAACGTTTTATGTGGATCATGCACAGGATGTTAGGCAGGTGGCCTTCTCTGGAGCCAACAAAAAACAACCTGTAGGGAGAAAATAGAAATAATTGATGCAACCAGGACCTTAAAAATTTATCATTTTAAGTGTCTCTACCAACCTAGATGCAGCAATGATGGAGGAGTTGAGGCCTCCGTAGCAAGAAATGGCCACAGAAATGGGAATGAGCCACCGAGCCCATCCCAGGACTTCATCTGCAAACGTCTGAAAGGACAAACAGATCCCCACATCACTCTTTAGGTCACACCTTTCTTCAACCTGAGCTCTCTTTTCGAGCAAAATTTAAATCCAAATAGGATCAAACACTGACCGTTTGACTGATTCCATCTATTAATTTCTAAGAAAGGTCTGATTTCCAGGAATGCCTTCATTATGCTTCAGTTGTGTTTATAGCTTGATAATACAAGTAAACCATCAAACTGAATACTGCAATAAAATGATCAAATGGTATTGACGACAGCCATTAAGAACTACTGTTCCTCCATTTGTGCTCTAATTGGATCATGAACCTTCCCTCGGTTCCTGAACGGAGCGCTAATGTCTTTAGCTAAATGAGGCCGTGGCAGCCTCAACCAGAGGGACGCACCAAACCAGATGCATAGCAGGGCTGCTCTACCAGACTGGACAGGAAGCGCAGATCATAACCTACTGTTTATACGATGCTGAACAGATAATAAAAAGATAAGTGGAGATACAGTGCCATGCAGAGTAACCTTTTAACCTTTGGTCATGTTGTGACCAAGCTGTGTTTTACTGGGATTTAACGACACACTAACTAACCTCGCCTGACCCAATCTGTGTTGCATAGTATGGATATGATCATGGCTGCCCTATGATGGCCTCAAAGGTTTGTTAGAAAACGGCATGAACTGTAAACAGGACAATAATAGAACAGCAACAAAAACAAAGACTTTGTTAACAAACAGGAAAATATCTGTAACCAAAAACAAATTGAGTAAAACCTTTAGCAGGGCTGCTACAACATAAGGAAAGTTAAATTCAAGACTTTTTTTGTCCCTTGTAATAAAACGTTAAGACCAACTTCAAAATAAACCAGGAAAACCTGGTTGCGACAAATTTAACCTGATGCTTATTTTAAATTAAACCATTACTTTCTGGCCCAGTAGAAATGTTTACAATTTCAAAAAAACTTTCCATATAGGAAGAAAGCTAAAAACACATTAATCACAGATATATTGTTAACAACTAATGAATGGAATTCACAAACTTTGTTTTGATCCCTACTCAGAGTCCATAAAAGCTCTGCTTTCATTGTAGGTGTACCAGCAAACATTATGTGGAGATTTGGTGCTACTGGTGTTTTTTTGACATCTGAGATTGCTGTAGAGGCCTTGCATAGACAAGGTTGGAACAGAACTAAGATATAGCTGCTGCTTCTCTGTAAATTGATTTAGGCGCTTTGTTTCTCTTTTGTTTCACTCCAGAGCTTTGATTCACATCGTGCAGAGCTTAAATGAATTGTTGCTCAATTACACCATCCCTCATATACATTACCTGTTACTGTTTTTAGCCATACAGAAAACTCTCTTTTTCTTTTATCAATTTTCATTGAATTTACACTTCCCCACGTTTTCCAGATAACAAGTTATTGGTGCATCACCTCAAGGTCTGTTTGCAACACCGTTTTTATTGGTTCTGCTGTCAGGATGGATCTTGTAATCGTTACAGCTAAACCATTCAGTAAATGTCAAAAAACTGTCGGGAATTATTTAAATTTTTGATATAATTTCAAAAAATAGATCCTACTTATGACTTGGTGATGATTTTAAGAGCTATAAAAGACTGATATACGACATTTTAATACCAATTATGGCCTTATTTTCATATTGAAGATTTCAATGCCTTTTAAGAATCTGCAAGAACCCTGTTTGGGTGTATATTTCAACAGGTTTTTACATCCAAACACTAGAGTATTAAAGCTGTAAAACGCCAATAAGCAGCTCTATAAAACATTTATTCAGATGGCACTCTGATTTTGCACATTTGATTACCCTATTTTCACGACTATAAGGCGCACTTAAACGTCTTTTTTTCCCCCTCAAAATGTGCGGTGCGCCCTTTGGTGCGGTGCGCCCTATGTGTGTTGTAACTGCAACTTTTAAGACCACGGGCCTGTTTCAGAAAGGTTAAGTGAAAACTCTGAGTTTGTTAATCCTGAAATGAGGGAAACTCTGGGTTTTCTGTTTCAGAAAGGGAGGTAAGTTAAACCTGAGAAAGCAGAGTAAGTCAAGCCCGTTTCTGAAAGAGAGGTAACTTATACTCAGAGCCTCAACCACTTGAACAATACAAGGAGAGACAAGAAACTGCACTTCTAATGCTTTCAAATAAACAATATTCAATTGCATGAATTAATCTTAAATTGACCAAAGTGTGTAACTAGAGGGAGAAAGTTCAAATCAAAATATACCTTTTAAAAATTTGATATTAAATCCACTATTTTTTTTATAGTCTTTAATTTAATTACAGTATTTATATGACTTAAGTAACTTAATTCATTACACCCAACGCTGTATAAAAGTAATTAAAATGTAAACTTACGCATTGACTCGAGCAGCTATTTTCACCCAAGCTAACTCTCTCTCCTTCGCCGCTGCAGCCGTGTTGCTTTTTTTTTTTTAAATACATGTTCAAATTCTGCATATGCTTGCATAAGCACATCCAGTTCTGCTGGTGAGAAATATGCACACCTTTTTTTCTCTGACGCTGTTGCCATGGTGACTCGTAATATCTGTGCTCCATTGATAATGGCTTTTTATAGTTGTGGTGCACGCGCTTAACTAACTCATTTCAGCTGTTCTGAAATCCAAAACTCAGAGTTTCCAATCTCAGGATAAGTCAACTCAGAGTTCAAGTTTTAACTCAGAGTTGGTTGAACTTCCTTATTGAAACAGGCCCCACCTCATTGAGGAGATGATGAAAGAGTGGCTGAATTTAAGGAGACCAGGTGTTTTTTTTCCCACTCATCACCATCGCTGTTAATATGTAACTCCATGCGTGCCCATCTCACAGCTGATGTGAAAAACATGGAGAAACAAATTAACGCTGCGCTGTTCAACCGCTCGACATCGGTGTGAACCGGACCCAGCAGGTGCAGCAGAAGCAGCGTGTTTACATGCAAAGTCAATGGTTGACGCGCGTATAGGTGCAGCAAAAGGTCCCGCAGCGCGTTTTGAGCAGCAGGCGCAGCGCGTCGGGAGCGTTTAAGCATCTGCCAACGCGCTGCTGCTGCTCAGATGGAAAAATTGAAGTTTTGCTGCTGGACGCGCCGCATCAACCAATCAGAGAAGCTGATCTGGGAGCTGACAGTGAGACAGACACAGCGCTCTGATGACATATTATATTAACGCAAATGAAAAAGGCTGGATGGATGAGGAGATGATGAAAGCGTGGCTGAGGCAGGTGTATGTGAGGAGACCAGGTGGTTTTTTCCACGCATCACCATCGCTGCGTGCCCATCTCACAGCCGATGTGAAAAAAAGGTGAATCAAATGAACGCTGTGCTCGCCGTTATCCCGGGGGGTCTGACAAAGGAACTTCAACCGCTCGACATCGGTGTGAACCGGCCGTTCAAAGTAAGGCTGCGAGCGGCGTGGGAGCGATGGATGACAGACGGAGACCACAGTTTCCCGATAAGTGGAAGGCAGTGCCGGGCAAGTTACGCCACAGTTTGCGGATGGATTGTTGATGCTTGGACTAACGTGTCTGCTGGCTCTGTTGTTCAAGCTTTTGCAAAAGCCGGCATTATTTCTGAGGAGCCGCGCTGCACGGAAAGTGACTCTGACAGCGAAGAAGGGGAAACTGGCATGTCTGATTTAGCGCAGCTGTTTAATTCAGAAACAGAGGATGATGACTTTGATCGGTTTGATTAATACTTTGTAATAAATACATGAATAAAGCACAATCATACTCAGTTTTGCTCCCGCTCTATTTTTCTACCTGAAAACTTAATTCAACAGCAGCCTCTGGGCCGGGTCTCCTCCTCTTCATCGCGGCGGCTGGCAGGTGTTTTTTCATCTAAATAATCTAAATCTTGCAGCTATATTTGCTGTGATCAGTGGGAATAAAGTAGTTTTAATATGTTTTTAAGTGAGAAAGTCCACCTGAAAACTTAATTGCAGTCAGTTCATCCAGATGATCTATTTCTGTCGGAGGCGCTCAGACCCCCACATACCAGCGGTGCACCGACAGCAGAAATCCCTTCAACAGCAGCCTCTAGGCTGGGCAGCCTCCGGGTTCATGCAGTGGCTGGCAGGTGTTTTTCATCTAAATAATTTAAACTGCAGGCACCAGGATACCGGCAATAAAAGCGAACATATTCCGTCGGCAGGTTTCAGGATTTTAAGTTAATTTAGGAGTGATCACAGCGCTGTGTCATCTGAGATGTGTCTGTCTCACGGCCAGCTCCCAGGTTTCATTAATAGTTTGTAATAAATACATGAATAAAGCACAGTCATACTCAGTTTTGCCCCCGCTGTATTTTTAAATACGCAGTAGAGGTATTTAAAGGTAGTAGAGGATATGTACCTGTATATAAAAAACGCGCCCTATAGTCCGGTGCGCCTTATGTGTGTGTTAAATACAGAAATGGGACACATAACTGAGAGTGCGCCTTTTAGTACGGTGCGCCTTATGGTCGTGAAAATACGGTAATCATAAATACTGTATAAATATAATTAAAGTTAAAAATAGAAAATATCCAAAGTTCAAGGGGTTTGAATACTTTTTTCTGTGGGGGAGGGGTACCTAGCATGTAGGTGTTAGTGTTCAGTAGTGTTCAGCATGTTAGATGGGTTGATATACTAAGCAACACTCACCACAGCAACAGCTTCACTGTTGAGCACCGTGTCTGCATTCATGACCACATAGTAAGCTACGTTGGTTAAAATGTAGATTATTGTGACGATGGGCATGGAAATGGCAATGGACAAAGGCAGGTTCCTACAGAAGAGAAAGGCAAGATGGCTTTAAACCTTTTAGCATAGATGTTTTAGTTATAAAGTGCAGTCATATAAAGGAAACGGAGGGATTAGAGGAGAATAGGCAGCGATACCTCTCTGGGTTCTGGATCTCCTCTGTGATGAAGTTGAGCGTGTCCCAGCCAGAGTAGGAGTAGAGAGCTGAATAGAGAGCCAAGGCCATATCGCCCGGGTCCCACTTGGAGCCTTTGAATGAGTCCTCAAAGTTCTGATCAAAACCTGCCACAGAATAGATTTTCACTAACTCCAAAAAGATTGATCCAGAGTTCTCGCCTGCGTAGAAGGCGATTTCGATGTCAGACTGACATCTAAGCTCACTCTTCCCTAAAAATATCCAGAGCTGGCCACATAGAAATGTTTAAATTAACACTAATATTAGGACAATACATAGAAATTACATAGATTAAAAATCTTATCTCAGCCTTTTTCTACTAAATCATATTCATTGATTTTTTCATTCACTTATGATGGAATATATATATATATATATATATATATATATATATATAGTGCTTCAGCAACTACCTTTTATTTCAACCATTCCCTCTTGAAGGTGACATTAAGGGGAGATAAAATTCAAGTTGTGAAAAATGCTGTAAAACAATCATGTTTCACTAAATACAAAGAAAATAGCGGCTAAATATTTGCAGCTGTTGGCATCATACAGTGTGCTAGTTTATCAGCTTTAAAAGAACATCCCAGAACAAGAAGGGAAACTGTTGTCACTCTGGGCTATAAAAGCCCAAAGAATGGATTGTTGGAGGAAAAAAAAAAACTCACCCTGACCTATAGGCTACATTTTAATCAGTATAACAGTTGCGAAAAACCCCCTTATTTTACACATTTAGCACTGTGAAGAATCCCTTCACGCCCACCACATCTGCAGGTGGATCAGTGAAACGTCTGTCTGGTTAAAGCACAGTTTGCAGATAAAGATGAGATAAGAACATCACGTTTCATCATCCAGTAAATATAGACAGAAATAGGAGATAGCTTAATTAAAAAAAAAAAAAAAAAAAAAAAAGCATCGAGTAGCACTGCATAACACTGCAGGAGGAGATTGCCGGCCCGGGTTCTTTCTGCATGGAGTTTGCATGTTCTCCCTGTGCATGCGTGGGTTCTCTTTGGGTACTCCGGCTTTCGCCCAGTCCAAAAAGGTGACTGTTAGGTTAATTGGCTTCTCTAAATTCTCCTTGGATGTCAGTGCGCCAGGACCCCTCGCGACCCCAGCAGGGATAAAAATCACAGAAAAATGGATGAAAACCTGATTTATAATAATAAATGCTATATAAATAATAAATGCAAAACTTAACACATAAGTAGCCTAATTATGTGATATTTAAAAACAATTTTCTTTGTATTCAGCTGCAAAATATTTCCTAGCTTCATCAACAATGCAGTAAGGAGTCCAAATTAATATGATGAGTAAAGCTAAACTGGGTGTTGCAAACTCTTTTTCATCAAAAATGTCATCACAGGTAATGATTAAAAAAAAAAAAAAGGCTGCTAGCATCACACATAAAAACAAAAATTTTATACTGTGCTTAACTCTATTCCGGCTCATAGAGGCGTGGTTCCCATCTTTGATAAGACGGGCAATAAAGTACGACAGGACATCCGGGGATCCATTATCATCCACCCTGTCCTTTTATCACACGTTCAAACACATTTAGACCTGCTTGATAGAAGTGTAAAAAAGGAATTGCTCTGCAGAGTTCAAAGTGATCTATGCACCAAAGAAGGATTGATGCAAACTTTAAATAAAGTGTTGTAAATGCAGAGCCATAAGATGGTTAGTTTCTTACTGGCAATGACACATATGATGAAGGATGGATGTAAGACTGCCCAAGCTGGAAGTAAAAAACAAACAAATTAAACCTGAACCCTGAATTATTTGGCTGTTATCAGAATATACGTCCAGTTGTGTCATAAATAAATCTAAAAAAAAAAAAAAAAAAAAATGAGCACAGAAGTAGAACAATTTTGGTCCAAAACATGAATTAGATTTCAAATAAAATGTACTCTGCTAGAGAAAGGTGAGCAACAGAGATGGTAAAAGAAAAATAAACAGAGTCAAAACCAGTTTGTGGATAAAAGTCAGGTTAAATTAGAGGAAAGCCACTGTATGAAGGTGGTTGAACTGAAATGATATATACAAGCCTGTTGATAAGACATCGGTACCTTTTATGACGTTCTTTTCATCTAATATTTTGGCTTCATTGATTCTGCTTCTTGTCCATAGGAAGTTAATAAAATAGGTTACCGTAGCTTCATGTTATCTTTGGCTTTCAAAGTTAATTGTCATAAATTTAGGGATGTTCTCTTTTAAACATGGGGTGGGGGTGGAGACAAACATCTGTAATGCCTCCAGATTTAGTTAGTCCCACTTTACACACCCCCTCTCCACCAACAAGGAGATGTGACAGAGACATGGGAAAATAAAGTGTTTTTGTGAGTATTACTTACAAACAGAAACCAGAAACCCTTAAATCTCCTCCCACCCTTTGCATTCGACTCTGAATCCGAGGTTATAAATCTAGGTCTGCCTAGCCTCTACTGCAATCTAAACTCTCATTTAATAAGATTAATGGAATTGCTGTAGAAGAAAGCACAGCTTAAAGTTAAAGCTCTCTACACAATGGAGAACGAGTTACAATGAAAATTCTTTGTCACATACTCACAAGAACAAAATCTTAAAAACCGGTCCAACATCTTCTCTGCAAAACTATTTAGAATAACTACTAAGCAGCAAGGTAGACTAAATTTCTACAATCTAAAGAAAATCAATACCCATCAATGATTAGCACATAATAAAGAGCCATTCTTTCATCTATTTGGCTCCACCTCTTTACAGGCTAATCAGTAACTCATAAGAACATTTCAGCTGCAATCCTGAACAAAGCAGCAGTGTCCAAGTCCTCCAATTATCCTATTTTAAAGCTATTACAGTTACTTCTATGTCAGATTTAATAAGAAAATACCTTGAGCCAGTTTAACCAATCCAGCAATGATGATGACGATGAGAGCTAGGACCTTTGCTACTGTAGAGACGACCTGAAGAATTGCTCCCCATTTTACTTTCATGCAGTTGACAGCAGTCAGTAAACCTAACAGACAGGAAAGAAAGGGGAAACGGGAGGTTAATAAACACAGTGCAATACAATGGATGGTAAGAGAGGCAGGGATTATATCACATCTAAAGGAAGTTAAAAAATAACTTCCCTAATATAAACAATGCACAAGATTTATAATCTGCAGGAATATTCCCATTTTTAAGCTCACAGCTTCTGTAGCTGATCTTTTTGCACCTTGTCTGTTGTTAAAAGCAAAACCAGCAGCTTTAGGGATCATTGGCTGTTTGCATTGCCTGAACTCTTCACAGTATTCCTTTATTTTTCATTTCAAGGCCTCTGTGTTTATCTCTACTGAGAACCGCTTTCAGGATGGATTAAGAGTAAACCACCAATGCAGCTATAAACAGACACTTTTACAACCTCAAGAGAGTAGACGGGATTAAGATTTTCTGCTGAAGGCCCTACAACTTAAGTTTTGTTTTTCCACATTTACATGCCACATGTATGGTTTAATATGTTCAAACTGTGAACTTTACTGCAGAAAATCGTGTAAAAGAAGGTTTTAATTTAAGCTTATGTGTCTCATAATTGCATAGAGTTCAGCTTTTGAAGAACTGAGTATATCATAAATTTGACAGTTTTAAGAAAAAGTTGCAAGATCCACCTGAACCAGGAAGGACAAATCAAATGTCCTGGTTAGGGATGGGAATCGAAAACCGGTTCCTGTTCAGAACCTGTTCCGTATTTTCCGATTCCATGGCATCATTTGGCAGCTCGCTGAATGATTCTTTTTTCGATTCCCGCAGCACCAGAGTCTAGAGCGCCGGCTCTGGGGAGCACGACTTACGTCACGTTTTTTACGTAAGTTACGCACGTTACGCAAGTTACGCAAGTTGGAAGAACTATTCGAGGAGGAAGACAACGAGCTGCGGTCACTTTGTGAATCAAAGCCCCGTCTTTCCTTAGCCCAGAGGGTAGATCAGGAAATCCAGCTCTATAAAAGCTTGCCCTCCATCCCCTGCAGGGATAGCGCCACACTGTGGTGGTGGAACAAGCAAGATACGCTGCCCTTGCTATCTGGACTGGCTGAAAACTACCTCTGTGTGCAGGCTTCCTCCATCCCATCTGAGAGGGTGTTCTCCACGGCTGGAGACACCATAAGCCCTGAAAGATCCCGTATCCTTCCAGAAAAAGCAGATATGCTCATCTTTCTGCAAAATAACTGTTAATTTTCCCTACTACTGTTTTATAATTAGTATTTTTTGTTATTTAAAATAGGTTATTATCCCATCATTTGTTATTAGACATTGTTGGTTATTAAGTTTGTTCTTGTATTCATTTTTCATTTAAACACGGATGTTACTCCAGTTTCACATTTCCTGTGGACATCTTGATCTTGTTGATTTTGTAAGATTGTGCAATAGTTAAGTAAACAAAGTTGATGCTGATAATCAAACAGTTTGTTCTCCTTTTTTCCCCAAATTGGAATCGAAAAAAGAATCGATAAAGAATCGAATCGTTTCATAGAATCGAAAAGGGAATCGGAATCGTGAAAATCTTTTCAATTCCCAACCCTAGTCCTGGTAGTTGCCCTCGACGACAACAGCTATTAGGTGATGATAACTGACCTTACCTAGTGTCTGCTTCCAAAAGTTTGGTTTTATGCAATCATGCTTAACTGAAAAAAAAACTTAAAGGTATAGTGGAGGAATCATCCTGGTGATATGTTTATGTTAGTCCGTCCTACGTGCTCTTTACCATTTTCACCAACCAAGGTGAGTCTGACATAGTGTAAAAATTGTTATTCTTCTCTTGGAAAGTCAGCTTGCATCAGTGAGGCAAACAGCAACTGTTAAACAGACCGTGTACAAGGAGAAATAGGCTTGTGAACACTCTCAGACACGTTCAACAGGTGTTTTTTTTTTTTTTTTTGTGGAAAAGACATGTCTTTTAAAAAATTCACCAAAATCCTCCACCATACATTTAATTAGCAGGTACCATGAGGAACCAGAACAAATGATGCTTGTTTTACTGTTCAGAAGCAGCAGCAGCTCATGCATCTTCCTGTGCTACCATGTTTATATGTGTTCAGCAGCTCCTGCATTCTTCACAGCTGCAGGTCTCGGCTTAAACCATACTGCTGCAACCTGAATCAGAGGCTTGTACCACAAAGCCAGCTAAACGTAGCTGGATAACTTCCAGCCTTTGCGGATTAACCAATCCACAACAATGGCAATCAGGATCAGCGCTACCATCAACTTGTATCAGCTCACAAGTATCAACTTGTCAGCTCAATCCAGCTTTGGCTGATCGTGAATCTGAACGAGCACACAGATTGCCGACTGCGTAAATTAGCGAGAAACTCATCAGTGACATTGAGCACAGCCTGCACCCCAACCACTGTACTGCAAATTAATCACGTGCCCCTCAGGAGTGAAAAGGACCTCAGATAAAAATAAAACACAAAAACATAATTTGAGCTGGTTATTTTGACTTTTTAATTTAATAATGTTTGGGCTACAATAAAGCTGGAAGCTGATGCCACAACTGCATCATATTAATATAAGTAGTTATCAGTCTGAGTGAAATTATCCTGATTTCTGTGGTGTCAGAACTTTTGTTCTACCTGGTGGGTAACCATTAATCAGTGCGGCTTCAGTGTAACATGTCCCCTTCTCATAATACTTTTACAGCAGCCAGCTGGGTGGTTCCTTCATCTCAAACTCGGGTCCTCTACCAGAGGTCTGGGAGATTAAGGGTTCTTCGTAGTATCTTAGGCATCCCTAGAACTGCACATTTCTGGACTTAGATGTCTGATGTTTCTCCAGGTATCTGTTTGAGCCACTTCTCCGGTGTGAGTTTTACTTCCCCCTTTGCTCCACTGACCACTGGCACTACAGTTGCCTTCACCTTGCAGGCTGTATCTAGTTCTTCCCTGATGCCTGGGTATTTCTCATATTCCTTTTCCCCCCCAGTTTCCATCATTTGGGACGGCGACATCGATCATTACAGCTGTCCTCTGCCACTTATCAATGATCTCAATGTCCATTGGTTGGCCACAAACTGTAAGCCATACAAACAGATACAAGACTGTATCTGGAAGCCCAAAAGGTTCTTAGCTCTAAGATGGTGGATTGTTCCTGGAGCCTCTTTGCATAGCCTGAAGCTGGGATCTCTCCTGGTATGGTAGATCTGGGTCTCCATTGCTCTGGTGTTCATCGCCAGCTCCTGTGCGGCCAAGATCAGTGCTTCTGTGGTTTCATTCAGTCTAGCCCTCTCAAGCCATTGGTAGGATTTTGTCATATCAGCCACTACAGCCATCTGTCGGTGGTACATCCCATGCAGTGTTATAGCTACAGCTGTCACCTTAACCCAGCAACCTCGCTTTGTGGTACAGGCCTCTATTTTGGGTCAGTCTCCAACAGTTGAAGCCGGAACGAGACCAGATAGATTCTTGCGCGTTTGTAAATTGTGGCATTGCGCTTTGATCTTTAAGACATTTTTAGCCTACTTTATGTTGTCAAACAGGTTTTTCTTTAGTACATTTTTCATTCTACAAGCATAATTAGGGCCTGGGTGTGTCTAGTAGAATTAATTTATCATTTAGAAACGGGCTCAATACTTTTCCACATTTCTTTCTCTCCTTAATTTTCAACAGTTACCTTTAATTAAATTAAAGGTTTTTGTTGAGAAAAAACTGCATATGAAAGCTACAGCTGTGTTTCTTATTCAACTGGTAACTATAATAAGCATTAAAAGCTGTTTCTCTGCTCCTTTTGTTTGGACTATGGTTACTATAAGGTTAGCATTGTTTTATGTAAACCTGTCGGCTACCAAAGCACCACTGGATACAGAAACCCCACATAAGAAAGCTGTGTTTAAAATTTTGTTTCAGCACAAGCTTTTACAAAACCAGCCATGTAAAAATGCAACAGACCAAACAATACATGTAACATGCTTAGAGGAAAAAGAGCCTTACATATTATGGCTGCTGCAAAGAGGCGGACGGCGTGATAGGGGGCAGAGCAGGTGGGGTAGAAGGGCTGGACCATATAGTTTGAAAAGGTCAAGGCTATCACCGCCTGACAGGCTGGTTCTACTATCATCAGGGACGTCCAGAGTCTAAAAACAAAAAGGGTGATCAGTAAAAGTGTTAGCATGTACATTTCTAACTTCAATATGCTTTAAAATGTAGTTAAAATGGAAAAACATTAAAACATTTACCGGTATGTCTAAAAAAACATTCCGTTTTGCTCATGAAGATCTACATTTTAACAGCCAAAACAAATGTAGGTTTATATATTAGCATGCGTCAAAGAGTACATGTAGTGAAAGTAGGACCAACACCAAGTAGGAGTACTGTAAGTCTCATATGCTAAAGGAAGCAAACCGGTTCCTTTTTCTACATTTGTTCTTACTGCAGGCAATATTCTGACAGCTACCGCTGACATACTTAAGCTAAAGATTTACAGATTTCTACTAATTAGCAATATTTGGGCAGGTGTGTTGCAGAGAATCTTAGGCTACGTTCACACTGCAACCCTAAGTAACCAAAATCCAATGTTTTGGTCCATATGGGACCTGTATCTGATCTTTTCATGGCAGTCTGAACAACACAGATCCGATCTTTTCCAATGCGGCCCAGGCCACTTAGTTATGTGGTCCTGAATCCCATCTTTTCAAATGCGACCTGTGTCTGAACAGCCATTAATACCCAACAAAGGTCACTCTTATGCTTCTTGCTACGCAGAAGGGGCAAGAAAAACAACAACCAAGTGGACGATGATGCAGAGAGCAGTATTTATGTTTAACCATCTTGGAAAGATGGAGTTTTAAGGTTGGGAAATATTGCTAGATGAGCTCCAACTCTACCAACCACGTTTACTTCCGTAAACACAGAGCACGCTGGCCTGTGACATCATTGCGTCCACTACTGCGCATGCGGGACACTTGCATTGTATGACTGCAGTTCACACAGGAGATCACATACAAGTCGCATATATTTGGAAATGTGAACAGCAACACACAAAAAAAAAAAAAAAAAAAAAAAAAAATCGGATTTCATAAAAAAAAAAAAAAAAAAAAAAAAAAAAAAAAAATGGAGCATCAAGGTCTGCAGTGTAAACGTAGCCTTAGAGTTGCAGGAGACTAGCCCTAGGAACCAGTGCAACAAACACCAGAGACATCAAGGACATGAGAGACAATCTCACCAATCCTTGAGTCACATCAAACAGTCCATCTTTGCTTATGAGAAAAATAACCAGAATTCTATTTTTCCTCTCTTCAGTAATTTTGCGAATTAAGTTTAAATCAAAATGACAGATTCTGGAAGAAGCAATATCAAATTTGAGTTGTTAAAAGTTATGTTCCCACAATCTGTGATGACTCAGGGAGCCAAAACCTCTGCAGATGCTAGCCCACCTTCTACTTGGACATTTGAAGAGTATTTTAGGTTTACTTTTAGGATACTTTTCAGAAGGTCCAATATTTTAAGTTTTATTATCACAAATTCTAAACAGAGTTTTCATCAGTTTTTAGCTTTAATTCCCCAAATAGAAATTAAAACATCTAAAATATACGACTCTGTGTGGTACATTTCATTTTGGGAATCAGAGTCGCTATTGGTGATACTCTGGACAATAGACATGCACCTGTTTTGAACTAATTAACAAAATTACCGGGGAAAAAAAAGGCATTTTAACACGTTTCGACATACCGAATAAAAGCCAGGAAGCCGCCAAACGCTTCCAGAATGTAGGCGTAAGAAGCTCCTGATTTGCGAATGGTGGTACCAAGCTCGGCGTAGCATAATGCTCCAAACACGGAAAAGATCCCTCCGATGGCCCAGACCACCAAAGACAAGCCGAAAGAGCCTGTATACATAAGAACCCCCTATAGGGAGAAAGAGGAAACATGTAACACTGTTTGCACAAAAACCAAAATGGTAAATAGACTTTTATGATCATCAAAAATGTATGCAATAAGGCAGGAGTCTTACCTTGGGGGAGACAAAGATTCCAGAGCCAATCATATTTCCCACGATGAGGCAGACACCATGGAGGAGGGAAATCTCCTGTTTTAGCCTCACACCGCTGTCCACTGACATTGCGTCTCCGTCTGCAACCATTCTTACTAATTTACAGATTTAACGCTCAAAGGAAAAGGTCACTAGGAGGATTAATAATAGAGCAAATATATACCAAAAAAATATATACACATATACAGTTTGGTCCTAAAAAAAAAGAGAAAAGTGAGGAGTTGGTTACTGGGAGTTCCAGATTAAGCACATCTCAAATGGCTGGGCAATCCAGGTGTGTTTCTCAGGTTGAATACCCTGAAAAATACAAACATACACAAAAAAAGGTCATTTAAGTCTTTTAATTAAAGTTTAGAACAGAAACATTAGGTTTATTCTAAAACACCAAATCACTTTCCTATTACGTACTCTGGTTCTTTTTCCACCACAAAAAGTTGTACTAACATTAACTAATGAGTCTGAGCAGCTGTTTCCCCTTGCTTTAATTCACACATTTAAAACTTAGATCTGTAATTCAACTTACAGGAAAAAGAGAACTTAAGTTAACAGACAGTTTATAAGTGTAGAATGTTTTAAATGGCTATAAAGATTCATAAAGAAGCTCATCTCAATTCAGTAAAAGAAGAGGTCTAATCAAGCAAAATGTTCCATCTATGAACATCAATGAAGCATCCGTTAGATTGGTGCAAAAGCTCCTGCACCAATGCCGTTAATGACTAGTTAGGATTTTCCAAAAATTACAGCTTCTTCAACTTGCCTTTCCTTCAACACTGGCTGAAGTGGTTCCAATCCCTTTAATCTGAAGAGAAGCTTCAGAGGTTTTCTTTTGGTGACTCTCATTTCCACCCAACTAAGCATGGGAGCTATACTTTAAAACAGTGACCTAATATTCTAAGGAGTCTCATTTGTTCCAGGCTTGTTGGACCAGGAAAAAAAAAAAAAACATGTTAAAACTGGGAGTTGGCAATATTTGCACTAGACTAAATCCATCTCTGCTGAGAACTGAGCTTAACACCCTTGCTTTTCACAAATAGAAGGTATGGAAACAATCTAATATGCAATTCTTATAAATAAAAAAACTAACTTGCTGCCACCAGTCTATGACAGGCAGCCACCATGTGTCCCTTATTACATCAATGAAATTATGCAAGCATCTGTTCTGCATCCCCAAGTCAATCTGGCTCCTGCAGCTAATGGATGCACGTTTACAATACATCTCTGGAGGAAACAATTAACCTTTGCACAACATGAAGAACACGTGCCATCAGCATGCCCTCTGATATGAACCAATGTGCTCCACATTAAGTACTTAACATTAGGTGACTTAACTTAACTGCCACTATAATTTTCAAAAACTCATGGTTAGTGTTTGGTTAGAATATGTTTGCCCAACTTAAAAAAAAAAAACACATCCAGATAAAGGTTTAGAGTGAATGTAGCCATAGAAGAAAGAATACTTTGAATTAAATCCCAAAAAATACATAGAAAAGTTATTTACAAAAAATGTGGGAACTCATCCACGCCAAGTTGTCACAGTTAGTTCCAACTTGGTGTCTTGGACTAACATAAAAATCAAATTTCCATAAAGCAATACATTTTTATAACCTTATTTAAATCATATTAATTAAAACTATTTAGAACTAAGATGTGGTGGGAAAAAAATCCACATCTTACATAAAAGGTAAAGCCGACAGAATTTTTTTCCACTTGATATATACATACACATTTATGTACATATACACACATCTGTATACACACATCTACACACACACACACACATCTACACACACACACACACACACACGCATATCTATATACACAGACACCTCTATATACACACACATCTTTATACGCATATCTATTTAACCCGGAAATGGTCATGAAGTTCACATCTACCGCGAAATTGTCAAAAATGTACTGTATGATACAGTAAAAAAAATTATTTGATTATGTATATATATATATATATATATATATATATATATATATATATATATATATATATATACATCCCTTCCAGACAGTCAAACATCTTTGACAGTCTTGTTCTCATGTGCATCTTTCTTCGGGTAGACCAAAGTTGGCTTAACACCGGTTCGGACTCTGAGGCAGCAACATTGGGCTGATAAGACCTAAAAGCGGGGCATTTTGTGTCCGAATGTGCCGCTGAACAAAACAACAGTGAAAGCAGCGTGGTTTCCACTCAGGTTTACTAGCCAGTCACCTCGCTGAAACCATCCCATTGTGTCAGTTTGATTACTAACCCATCATCGGCTGCTGGTTAGCTGCTGGCCTGATGTGGATTTAAAGGAGTAGCCGTTGGTATTAACGGGGCTGTTCCTCTCAGCACCAACTTTACCACGAATGTCAATCAAAAAAACAAAAAAACGGCTTAGCATCGCGCTAACAATTAGCCGGTAAGATCACACATGATGCAGCTGTTGCATCATGCTAACCCGCACATCTACACCCCGGTCGGCGGTTAAAGGAAGTTGTAGAAATATTTACTTCAAAAGCTGCCGTCTTTAGTTTGTAAAACAAATTAGAAGCTCGTGGTGGATGGGTCATTAGTAAATAAAAAAAAAAAAAAAAAAAAAGCTTGTAGTTACCTCTCTACGTGCCCATACAGTCCTCTCAGCCTCAATCAAGCAGCCACCCATGTGCGGGGCTGGAAGAACTTTAGCTTTGATCCGCGTTAGTTAGCAGTCAACATCTGCTCAGGGGCAACCCCCACAGGATGACACGACCCACGGAGGGAGGGAGGGAGGGCGGCTTATTAAATAATGGAAACGCGAAGAATTGACCTGAAATTGATGAAATCCACAGTAGTTGAAGGCGTTGATTCCATCACTTAGAATACAATGAGCCGAGCAGGATCTGCATACAAACCTGTTTAACCACCAGGTGCGCAACTTATGAAAGCTCATTACTGCTCCTTTGACTGGAGAAAAAAATGCACACAGTTTTACCATAATTGGGAGATTTTTTTAAACAGAATTATGTAATTTATTTACATAAACACCTTATATTTTAATCAGACTATTTCATAAAAAAACAAAAATTTTTAAATTATACCAACCAAGGGGGAGTAAAAGCCTCCATAGGGCCCCAAGCAAAATGTAATCTTGGGCCCCTTTATATTAAATATAATATATATTGCCAATAATACTGATTGCTGAAATAGCAAGTGTAAACGTCATAGTATCTTTTTTAGTCTGCCTAAAATGAAATTCTCCTTGTACACAAGTCAGATTATTCACACCCTGGCTGACTGTAACCTAATTGCGGCTTTGGCTAGGGGCGGAGCTAGATGGGGGCCAGAGGTGGCCATGGCCACCCTTAGCCAACCTTTGGCCACCCCTACCATTTTTTTCGCCCTTTAATACAGATGGTAGCAGCAGTAATACTTTCAGGGGAATGTTCAGACTTATTAAACATTTACTATTTATTTTCATATATTAAAATTACTTGACAACTAATATGCTGGGGTTAATTATGCACATCAAAATACTAACATTAAAGTTGATATTCATGCTCACTTCAGAACTAAATTATGTGTTATATAGGGTAAAGAGAAAATTCTCTACAAGTCATCTAGGAGTCTTCAGTGACATCATAGTTAAATAACTACTTTAATGATAACTTAAAATCCATTTAATTTAGATAAATAGTACATGTAAATATTCATTTTATGCAGAACAATTTTTGATAAAAGTAGGTAAGTAATGAAAATTGGAAAGATTTTCGCCCCAGAAATTTTGTCCACTACATTTTACTACCTTTTATTTAGACAGCATGGATGTTTAAATATATGCATTTATTTGTAATCAAAAGGCTGCAGGAAAGTATAGATTGTCTTCATTTAGAAAACATGGATGTTGTGCTCGTTCCTGTTGGAACAGTGTAGATTGAGCCTAAGGTTCTGGCGCTTATCCGCTTTCGGCCACCCCTCAGTGTACATTGGTTTTTGACCGGCCACCCCTATAAACATTTTCTGGCTACACCTCTGGCTTTGGCAGGGCTGCTTACAGTCTCCTATTTGTATGCATCATCTTATATCATTAAAAGTGATAAAATAAAGCATAATGCAGATTATTTATTTCAAAAATGAACTTTTCAAAACTTTTTGGGAACAGAATTGTATAAAATAAAAACTGTAGTGCAATGCAACTACAACAGCAAACAAATAACATTGCTTTTAAAAATAACATAAAATAATATTGATCAAAAAACATAGTTAAGTCAAATAATGAAAAAGCAAGCTTATCCTTGTTCTTCAAGCATAGGTTTGTCTTAGATACATTTACACTGGTCCTTCCTCATCATTCTGGCCCCAATATCTTTAATTTCTTTTGTTTTGATTTATAAGTCATTGTTTCTACATAGTTAAAAATATTTGAATGTAAGGAAATGCATAGTCTTATAATGTTATTCTGTGTTTTGTTACTATATTCATATAGAAATCATTATACATACAAAACAGTTACTTGTTCCTGCGGGGCTTCTAGTTGTCCTGGGGCCCTAATTGCTTTTGCCTTGGCCAGGCCCTGGCTCAACCCAAAATCTACTTTCCTATTTGCTGATAAACTGCATTAACTGGGCCTATATGGTTCCAATTTAATGTTGCTGTGCAATATTTGTCATAAATTCGCTGCTCTCTTAGGGTTGAAGAACTGCACTTGCACTTGAATTTTCCTATTAGTCCAAACAGTAAATGCTAACATGCCTGGTAAATATCAACATCATCAGAACCCTGGTTCAGATACAACAGCAGCTTATATACAAACATCCTCAGTGAGTTGCTATTATATGGTTTTGAAATGTAAATGTATGGATTTGATTGCCTACCAATTACCATGTCAAAATGTAAACCAGTTTATAAACTTGTTTGACAGAAGTGTAATTTCAATAACTATGAATAAGACTTTGAATGTAATACTGAGTATTTCAGGTTACAACTTTTAATGTGATACCTACAAAGTTAAAATTCAAAACAGTGACTTTCAAACCTTCACATATGACTTTGTGTCTTGTAGTTAGGACTCAAAAAGTCATAAAAATGACTTAAGTAATATGAGACTTTAAAGGCCTAAACATGCCTCAAAACCGGTTACTTCTACTGAATTTTGGACGCAGTATTTCATCCAAACAAAAGCAGGCTTTTAAATGGTATAGTTCTATAATTACACCATTCTATAATTCTATAATTGCTTTAGAATTTATTTCTTAGACATAGAAATTTAAATTTTAACTTTCTCTTATTATTATAAACCAATATCTGTGGTATCCTATGTATGGTTTCATTTTCTTAAGTAGTTAAAATGGGCCCCCAAAGATTTCAGTATATCTTTTATCTTTCATACTTTGTTTTATAATTACAAACAGGAATAACTTCTTTGCTGCAATTTCTTTATCCTCAGACAATAAGTGTTATTTTTCTTCAAATAGATCAATCTGACCATCAAGAAGGCTTTTTAGATAAAACCCTGATATATCACAAACTGGTGGGAACTCTGTAACAGACTGAAAAGCTATTGTTTATTTTCTGTGATTTGAAAAAAATCTGAAATGCACCAAATTTAACTGTATCTATTATTGGGTTGTTTAAATACTCCTTTTTTCTGATTCTGTTACAAAACCTAGCCAGAGTGTCCTCTCTGGTTAATCAGTAGTGGTATTTAAGGTCTCTGGTCGTAGACCCTAAATCAATAGCAATGCAAACATACACACTTTCGGATAAGGATCTGGAGGTATAGGTCGCTCTACGTTGGGTAAAACAAGTACAGGTGCAGCAGCAACATAATCAACAAAAATATCATGCACAAAGCACAACTGTACTTAATTATGTCAGTTTAAGTCAATGTTTGTCACTTGTTTTCTGCAAGTCTGTGGATTCCTAAAACCCAAGGATTTGGGATATGCTGCCACCTTGTGACCCATTTTAATAAAAAATGTATTCACTATATCACATTTTTTCCTCTATTTACATTGATCAATATAGTTTATTCAGTTAAACTGATAGCCTACTGCTGGAACTGTTAAGGATTATTTAAAAAAAACTTTCACGTGAAGATAATAGAATAGAATAGAATAGAATAGAATAGAATAGAATAGAATAGAATAGAATAGAATAGAATAGAATAGAATAGAATAGAATAGAATAGACTTTACCATCCCCTTGGGGAAATTTGTCATGGACACAAGTGTGCAGTGCACAGTGGTAGCTGCTGTATTTAGCAACGATAAATATGCATAAAAACAATTACCAGCTAAAAATGTACACATAGACTACATAAACGCTCATAAGAATAAAAATAAATAAATATAACATACAAAACTAAAACAACAACAGAACACAAGTTATTGCACATTTCCCATTTTCAACCTTAAATATCTTTTTAAATGTTGATTTAAAATGTTGATGTAGTTGGGTATAAAGGAGTATTTATAGTGGTTCAGTTTGGTTTTTGGGATTCTGAACCATCTGCCACAAGGCAAGAGCTCGTATTCCTCATAAAGCATGTGGGACGGTCCTGCAGTACACTCTGCGCCTGCCTGAGTACAGACTGCTCATAAGTGAACTGAAGGAAGAGCTTTTCAAGCCCCCCTTATCACTTTCATAGCAGTCTGTACCAGGTGCTGTAACTTTGATTTGGACTGTGTGAAGAGACTACAGGGTCACCCCAGACCTGATGACACTCTCCATCACTGCCTGATAAAATAAAAACATGATTTTCTGACTGACACCAAACACATTCAATCTGCATAAAAAATACATCCTTTGCTGTAAACGGGAATTAAAGAGGAAAATTAAGTGAATTCATAAAAGAATAAATTATAATACATTTTAGATAACATTTAGATTTCTTGAAAGCATTTATTTTCTTTAGCAACTGGATGATCTGAGTGTGTTTTGGAACCTACTCATTACTCACAGCATCCATCCTCAGCTACAGGAGGACTCAGCTCTGAATTACAGGACATAAGGGCAGCCAGGCTTGCAGCTGGGAGAAGGGAGAGTGGCAGGAGGCCTTTTTGGCAACTAAACATGCATTACTGGCTCAAAATAAAGTAAAATAACATACAGATATTTCCTCAAATATTTTCAAAATAAGAGCTAGTTGAATGCCCAACACTCTGGGGGGTTTTCTTTCAATTGTCAGAAATTGCAGTTTGCTGAATATAAACAGATTGCCCTAACCTACTAGGCCAACACTCACCAGCCGAGAAAAAAAAAGTTGGATTTTTAACGATTATTATTATTATTTTTTTTTTTGTGATTGCATCCATACTGTCTGTATTGAGGACTTTAGAGTTATATAGTTTGAAACATCAGTTCCTAGGCTTCTAACAGGCCTGGGCCTGTGGAAAATCCAAAAAACATTAATCAAGCTTTAAAGATGGTAGTTATTTATTATTAATCTAAGTAGGAAGGAATTGTGCACATTCTCTTTAGTTTTAATATCAAAGTATGTAATGAGACAAATAGTTAAGTGAAATAGTTGCATAATAGCAGAGGTGTCAAGTAACGAAGTACAAATATTTCGTTACTGTACTTAAGTACGCTTTTTTAGGTATCTATACTTCACTCCATTACTTATTTTTCCTCATACTTCTAAATTCTACTCATTACATTTTCCCACAAGTATCTGTACTTTCTATTCCTTACATTTTTAAAACAAAAGTTACTCGTTACTTTTGGCTTCGGTTTAATGTTTATAAATATTTATTTCACGTCATGTGCGCCATCCAGTGCAGATCATTGTCGCCATCAACATCTAGTGAAAACTAGTGTAATTGGTTAGCTAAAGGAAGTCATTAGAAACAAGCAGGTGTTCTTCAAACTACAAACATGAATTGTCTATGCCATGCTACAATGTCGGATTCAGAATAAGATGTTGAAATGTCGGACACAGGCGAGAGCGTATCGGGAGATGGAGACCAACAAGACCTCCCTCATCCTTGGCCCTATCTTTCAACTATATTTCATATACTTAACAATAGTATAGTCAAGTGTACTTGACTATTGTTTACTTTATTGTTTACTACAGTATACTTTAAGTATACTGTAGTAAACTTTAAAATGTCCCAATTTAGTTCGAAGAAGTATTACTTTAGTAATACTTTAAGTACACTAAAAGTACAATTGTTCGGTATACTTTCTAAACTTATACTTAAATATTTACTTCCAGTATACTACTTTTTGCTAAGAGAAGTTGATACTCCAACTTTTACCAGAGTGTTTTTAAACTGCAGTATCTATACTTCTACTTAAGTAGCAAATATATGTACTTTTGACACCCCTGCATGATCACTTTGGAAAAAATAAAAATAAAAACTGAGTTTTATTTGTAAAAAGCTACTCTTGCAACATGCTTCTTGCAAGCTTCGAAATGATGCACTTCTATGATAGTTTAATGCACAGATTTGATCTTACTATGTTAAAATATTATCCTTTTAATTCAAACAGCCTGTAAGAAATTAAGTAAAAGAGAAAGTAAAAACAGCCCCTGCTCTCCCCCAATAAAGCTTCTTCTTTTATTTTGGCGGAATTATTGCTAACTTCCGGCATCGTCCTGGTTTATTGTCGCCCCCTTTCCTGCAGCTCAGCGCAGACCACCAGGCGCAGCAGTGAAGCGCGTCTCTCTCTCTGCTGACTCAGTGCCTTAACAGCAGTCGCTTCTCCCGGTGATCCAGCATCCAGGCGCACATTTCTCTGACCGGCCCATCCCAGCTATACCCTTCAGACATGGCTAAAACCGCAGTCGGTGAGTAATTATTTTAGTTAGATTTTAAAAAAAGAAAGAAAAAAACCCGAGACAGTTTTCAGGGTGATGATGATGATGAGAGGCAGTGGCGACACCCATGGCACAAAAGGATGCTGAGGGTTGACAGGAGGGAGCGGCCAAACTCCTCTGCAACTCACTTCTAAAAAAATAAATAAAAAACCCTGCAGATTATTATAGTATTTCATCTATTATGATTTCATCCTAGTTTATTGTATTGTTTATTTTATTAAATCTCATTAATTGATATGGGTCAGTCTGTGACGCATTCGCTTATATAGTCTCCATTTTGATTAATGCATATAATAACTAAAATAATGTTTATTTTCCTTATTAATTTGGAAGCATCCATTGATCGCTGCAGCACCTGCCTCCTTCCTGCCTGACTCAGAGCCGCGCAGCATAATGCAGCTCCAGCGACCCCACCCAACATCCCCGCTCCCTCCAGAAACGTCTAACCATCAATAATCCGCTGTTTAATTTGAGAAAAAAAACTGGGTCATCCTCTCCGTTTGTGATGTTGAACCCCTTTTCTAAGTGAACCTCTGTATAAACAGACATGATGGACAGAGGAGCATCTTTATCACGAATTACAATTTACGACTGGCGGTGGAAAAAAACCCAGAATATTAGACCCTAATCCTGTTAGGAAGGGCACTGAATATGGGAAATTTAAGATTGCTATCTTGATATGTTCTGTTTTAAGGTGGCACACTTATTGCGTTTTATTTGGATTTTAATAAATTATATTGTATAGACAAACTGCACAACTGCAGATTCTTGTGGATTAATAGAGGATGAGAGAGCCTTAATATTCATATATGAACAGTGTTTGTTTTGTGGTAGATGGAGCAGGTGATGGAGGGGTGTGCATGCCGGGGGGCCAGTTGTAAGGGTCCTGGTGTCTCAGCTCTGGGACACTTAAATGCTGCTCCTTTTTTTCCTCCTCCTCTGTTGCCTCTTTTTTCCCTTCCTCCTACATGATCTTGATTTGAGCTGCAGACAGGCAGAATGGGATGGGCACGGAAGGCAGCCATGATGCCAGTCATCACACTGAAGGTCACTGAGTTCATTTGAACTGAAAATAAACATTAAATTCATCATGGATTGATTAGTAACTGTGTTATTTTTGCCACTCTTAAAGCCCAGGATTGATGATGAATACCTCTTGTCATTTCCAATTAGGTGTAGTCATTTACCTTCAGGTTAATAATCAATTCCTTTGTGGCCAGAAATGGAGATCATCCTATAATGTCCAGCCTGAGATGGATTGTGCAGCGTTTTTGAGGTGAAGTTTTATTAGAAAGGTCACAACAAAAGGAGACACTCTTGGCATCTTTATAAAGTATTTAATCTAACCAACATGTGTATGCGCATGTTGATTTTGCCCAGGCTAGATGGACACAAAGGGGAGGTAACTTATTCATTTTTAATCTTTTTAGAAAATAATGTATTAATTCCATTTGGACATTATAAGATGCAGTAACCCAGCACTATATATATCTTGGTTTATTCAGAAACATTCTGAATGGTTATAGCTGTAGGAAAGAAGGATCTCCTCCAGTGGTCTGTGTTGCAGCATGTCTTAAGAAGGCTCTGGCTGAAGACACTGCAGGAATAATTATTTTATTTCAAAGAGGATGCTATTAGTTATATTTTGTAATATAAGAAAAATGTCTCTGCTCAACAAACTCTATAAGATGAGGTTCAGTCAAAATCAAAGCTTGGCAGGTTGTGTGTTTGTTTTTTTTAGAGGACCCAAATGCAGAGACGGAGGCTGAGGTGGTTTCTTGTAGATTTAATAATTCAAAAGATGGTAACTGAGTCCAAATTCACCCAAAAAACAAAACAAAACCTAGAAGATGTCAGGAAAAATACACATGAGGATCAAGAAATGACAAGGAACCACCAGAGAGTAACTGAACAGGAGGTGTATATATGGGAGACAGAAACAATGGGAGGACTAATTAGCAGACAAGGAAAAGGTGTGGACTGAAGAAAGTGGAAGGGCGTTAGGAGAAGAAGACTGACACAAGAGGGCAACAGAGGGTAAAAAAGAAATATATAAGAACTCAAATACAACCAAAAACAACTGTAATAACAAACTATGGAAATAAAACCAACGAAAACTCAAAAAGAAAACGTAAACAGAACCAAGCCTTTTCAGAATTTTTTTCCTTTTTAAATCTGCTTTACTTTGACTTGACATGTATTACATGTTTTTGATCTAAGAGTTCTGCTTCTTACATCCATTCAGCATGCATTCATATATCATTTTAAAAAAAATATCAGCCTTTATGTTAATGTTTTAAATACCATTTGGTTTAACTGCTATGGGATGTGGCAATGTTAAGGTGGTTGAAGTCCACCTTGGTCTAGGCTAGTCTTGGAGATGGTGGCATCCAGTGGAAGCTCTAAATAAATTTACTTACGGCGGCCAGGGTGGGGGCGTGCATTTTTTATGGGTGCACAAAAAAGCATGAAGAAAAAAAAAAAAAACAGGGCAATAGTTTATCATTTAAAATATATTAACAGAGACAGGGAACCAAAGAGCTACTTGGGGCTCTGCATTAAATGAAGTGAAATTTACACATTTATTTTAATTAAGGTATTTGTTGTTCCAATCGAAAATATCTTTGGACTATGAATATTAATTTTATTTACCATAAATAAAATAAAAAAATCTTACCACTTCAAAATATCTACTGAAAACTAAAATAATGCTATTCTTTGGAGTATTATGTCGATGTACATTCATAGTTCAGAATTATTACATATCTTTGAACTATATTTAATAAAAATGCCTTGTTTAGATTAAATCAGAATGAGTTCTCAAGTAAAACTGATCATTTCAGCGGTACAAAATGTGTGTTTTTTTTTTATTTGTTTGGACACAACATTTAACAGGTGAAAACCGTGATCTGATCTGATCACAACTGAAGCTATCCCCTTATTTTTAAATCATAATTAAAACAGATTTGTTAAAAAGAAAAGAAAAAAAAAGAAATGGCTTCAATGGAGCTATCAGTCACTGTATGTCCAGCATATATAATCATTACAGGCCCATAACAGGGGCTAGGACCAGTTCTACAGGGGCAGTGGCCCCTGAGGGCCTCTGCCTAGAACCACCCATGGTGTCATATTAAAGCAGCTGGAACCAACTGATCTGATATAGTGAATTAAGACACCAGAAGTTAGTTGTTGATGTTAATAACCTAACTAATATTAGGTTAAAATTCACGTTTTTAGTAAAGTAACATCAACGAGTCCAATCTGGCTCTTTAGTTCACATGACAATTCTGCTGTATTGCTTTGTTCATTGGTGTCTATCACCTTTGTTGCTATGTATATATGTACATGAGCTGCGCCTGGCTCACAACTCATCCTGATTTATCACTGGTCTGGTCCTATCGATCTGTGCAGCTCACTGGTCTTAGATTACCATTATTCCTAATGACAGGCTGAGAGGAGGAGGCGGTGACATCAGTCCTGCTGGTGATGTTTAGCACATCTAAATATTCAGATCAGGGATATTACTGGCTAATCAACAACCCTAGTTTACCCTTTTATTTCAATTTCTACCTTTTTATAGGTGAGTCTCACCGACATAGAGGATAACAGAACGATTTTAATTAACTTGAAAGATAATTATTAAATAAAGTAATTAAATTTCAAAAACTGGGAGGAACATCCAATGATACCTCATTTATTTTCAGCAAAATATTTTTCGATCTTTTAACCTTGATTTAGCTGCAAAGCTTCAGGTCCCATTTTACTTATTCTTAGCATAAACACCTCTGATTGTTAAGAGAATACATATAAGAAAAGGGTTTGAAAGTAAATTCTCTTTTTTGGGCAACAAAAATGCAAAATCCGTTTTTTTAATTTGTAAAATTCTGTTTGATCAGTTCAAATGTCAGCTTGTCCATAGTAAAAACAGCAGCCATCATTTATAAATAGCTATTAGAAGCACAAATAAGTAAATATTGTCCACATAGTCAATGAGGTTACAGGAAACATTTATTTCCAAAGTTTCTTCTTAACTATGTTCAATATGGGTGTTAAAAAAAGTTGTCAAAGGTTCAATTAATTCAAATGTCAAAACATCGATAAGACTTAAAATCCGATATGCAGGAAGGGCGTTGTGTGGACAGAGCAGAACAAATGTAATTAAAAATGTCACGGTTACAGTAAAGAAAGATCCTGCTTACAACCAGATAGACATTTAAAAAACAAAACAGCTGATAACTACCTTAAATAAATATCTAATATTTGATTGGTCTCCTCATATTTCATGCCATACTACCATTCTGCAAATCACTAGCACAGATGTAAAGAAACTGTCAACAACCCAACTGTTTGACTATCGAATCAGGAGATTTATAAGACTTTACAGACAGCTATTAAAAACTAGAAGTCTCAATAATAGGAATCTCATCACCAGCTATCTGCTCACTGTCCTTGAACGTCTGGGTGCCATAATGATTCATTTAACGATCTATTTTCCTCTTGCTATAGCTTTATAACTTCAGATTTATTTGTTGCTGTAAAGTTGCTAAACATGCACCCACAGAGCTGCGATTGCTACAGCACCCAGGGGGGCCTGTAGGCCTTGGATGAACAAGGCTGCATATTTGTTTGAAGCCGCTAATGGTTTCTCAAAGTGACTGTAAAACTCTCTTCTAGAAGATTAGACGGAGGCAGAGGGAAAACAACATGGGAAAGCAGCTACTGCAGGTGTAGTGTGTGCTGACAAAGGGAAATACGTATGGGTGGGTATCAAACAGTGGTCAAAGGAAAATAAATAAGAGGGAGAATACATCAACAAGATGAAACTGATGGAAGGAGCATCAGAGAGTGGCAAAATGAGAGGTGCTCACTAATATTGATAGTCTGGGCTCTTTGGTTGATGGATTGGTAGCGGAAGTGCACTTTGACGGGTGCGTTGGTTGTCAAAACGTAAGGATGAAGTGCAAACCTGCTGACTTGGCTGTCTGGAAATGCTGGTGGAAGCAGAGAGAAGCATTTAAACATGTTATCATCCCAGTCTGAGTTGACTTCCATCCCATTTCAGCCCATCCCATTCTGAGCAAGAAGGCAGCAAAAAGCCAAGCAGAACCTTTAACCACAGGTTTGTCTTCTCTGCGTTGTTCTGTCGCTGCAGTCATTTGTCATTTTTATACCCCTGATCCACAGAGGGAGGGTGTGTTATTACAGTTTTTACTGAGGGGGCTTATAATTTCCGCTTAGAGAAATGCACTGACGCTTTCATATATTTTTTAATAAACTTTTGATTATGGATTCTTTAAAATATGAGAATAAGGGGATGGGGGGGGGGGGGTGATTTGGTTCTCTATAAGCATCTATTGAGCAAAATATCCAAGGAATGTAATCTGCAGTGAAATAGTAATGCACCTCAGACTCCTGAAAAAAACCTAAATAACATTACAGCTAATATCATTCTGAGTTCACTTGCTGATTGTATTAAATTTGAATGTTATTTTCTCTGCTTTTACATAGTTTGAGGCAGAAGAGCTTTTTGAAGCTCGTGAGTAGAATTTTGATTTATTGTTAGACCTCCAGCTGAACCCTAAGGTGTTTTTCTTAGAGAAGTAGTTAGTTATAGTGAAGTATATGTTGATGGTGGGGGAGGAGCTGGACGCTCTAACAACCGTGGCAGAGAGGAGGATGCTGTCCAGGCTTCAGTTTGTGTTGGACAATGTCTCACACACTGTCCTCCACACACTCTTTCAGCAGGAGACTCCTCTTACCCAGATGCACCACAGAGCGCCACAGGAAATCATTTATGCCTGTGGTCATCAATCTCTACAACGCCTCGCTCAGAAAGTCATACTGCCCCCCTCTGTAATTCTGACTCAGATTTATAGAACTTTTGACAATGATTTGACATTTGTTCTTTTGCACATTGCATATTATCACTTTATTTTAGATCTGTAAACACACACAGGTATATATATATATATATAAGCATATACATATATATATATATATATACATATATGTATATATATATATATATATATACATATATGTATATATATATAAGCATATACATATATGTATATATATATATATATATATATATACATATATGTATATATATATATATATATATATACATATATGTATATATACATATATATATATACAGATACGTATACATATACGTATATACATATATACATATATATATATACACATACATATACGTATATATATATATATATATATATATATATATATATATATAGATATATATATATATATATATATATATATATATATATATATATATATATATATATATATATACACGTATATGTATACATAACGAAGATAATTTCCCCTGGATCGTTAAAGTATTTCAGATTCTGAATAATGTCAAGATGAACCAGTTTGTTATAATTCTGCGCTCCAGCTGTACTGGTAGAGCAGCCATGATTAGAAGCAGTTTTTAAATGAATCTTTTGAAAAACGTTATCCAAAAAATGGTGGTGACAAAGGCCATCAAAGGTTTCATTCCATTTAAGCAGTGTAGCTGTGGTATGTTATCAGTGGCGGTTACTACTGTTTGGGAGGAGAACTGCAGCGAGTGAGCTAACGACAGACAAAGAGTTTCCCTATCTCACAAGAGGTGTTTATTTCACATTTATCACTTGAATCAAATATAATGAATGCAAATTTGTATTAATCATTTCGAGGTCTTGATATCTTCCACCGGTAACCTATTAGAACAGCTGTGGGCTAAGTTTAAATGTTCCTCGTAATGACTAGTTGTAGGGATTGCCCTGTTCATGTTTTTTTTTTTTGTTAATAAATGATTTTTGCAGATACATTTTCTTTCATATTGTACTGGAATTACAACACAAGGCGTTTTGTTAGAAACAGTCAATTGGAAATAATTCTTATTCAGCTAAAATTCTGTCCCGTCCTACATTCGTTTATTATATTGTCCCCGAGCAAGCTAAACTAATATTTGTCCAATCAAACATTGCTGAACTGGATCCTTATCCGGATGGTTATATGAGCTTAAAAGCAGGAAAAAACATCCCTAGCAAAGGGGCAAAATTACATAGTCTGTTGATAAACTGGATTGATGTTCTGCAAAGAATTATAATATAGCTACATTTAATGTGATCCAAGTTTAGAGCAAATCTGCTTAAACTATTAAACAAGCATTAAAAAGAGTCATAACCTTCCAACACTTCTGTAATTGTCTTTAAATTCTCATTTGTATCATTTTTAAGAGAACATTCTTTTATAAAGCTCTTTCTTACACTTTTTCATACATAGCTCTTTTTTTCCCCTAACTTGAGTGTAATGGCGTTCATGTGGATGTAGAATTAGCAACATTAGCAGTTTGCCATGGTTTGTTTCCCCATCGTTTACTGGTCTCTTACGCAGTGAGTCAAAAGTTACACAAGCAGTTACATTTACTGACAGGCGAGTCCCTGATTGTTGGAGCTGCTCCTTTAGATGAAATCGAGACAGGCGAGCAAGGTGCAATCAAGGGGAACCAAAATAATGTTTTATGGAGACGGTGCTTGTGTGGGATTTCCTGGTTAGAACCAAAAAAAAAAACAAACCAAAAAACGATGGCTCCTTTAAAGTATGCATGGGTTGACATAATTTTTAAAATCTACATTTTGCCTTCAGATGTCAACAAGAAGCTAGAAAATGGCTGCTGCAGTCCTGACAGAGACGCAGCGCCTAAGGAGATGGTGACATCCCTTCAAATATTTCCAAACCCAGCATGTGATAAGCGGAAACAGGACAATCCGCTAATTACAAACTGATGTGCTTTCCACCTGAGGAGGCTGCTTCCATTAGGCTGTCCTGGGGGCAGTCAACGATGGCAGATATTCCTCAGGGGGCTTCAGTCTTTGCTGAGTCTAATACTTCCTTTTTTATTCCTGTTCCAATCAAAGAAGCGTTAGCATTAGTGTAAAAACCATCAGCAGGTTGGCTCCTCATTTCCATACCCTTTTATTGAAAGGAAACCACTTTTCTTTTCCATTTAACCTTAATCTTCTTTCCTCTTCATTCCATTTTTATTGAAAGTTTTCATCTCCCCTTGCAGTATTCTGGCATTCTCCCACCTTCTCCTCGGGGAAAGGGTTAACAAGGCCATCAGAGAGTAGTAAGAGCTGCATGTGAGAGTTTATCACATTAGTGGGGCGTCTGTCAGTCTGCAGGGCAGAAAGTGAACCAGATAGAGAAAAGAGAGCTGCAATAAGCACATTAGGATTCAGATTAATCATATTCTAACTGTATCGCTCCTTCACCGTTAGTCAAACTGGTGTCGTTGATGCCGTAGCCTGCTGCAGATCATGAATCAGAAGTGCCACATTTAAGCCCTACAGGCCTTGTGCTCTGGATAATGGACGACGCTGCTCTGTGACACCTGGCATGCAGAGCGTACTATTAGAGAGCAAAAACGCAGAATGTTCAAAAACCTGCAGTGTGTTGCAGATATGGCTCCACCTCTTCCCTACTGGGGATGTTGCTGAATAAATGAAAAAAAGTCTTAAAGATGCAAGACACCCAAGAAAAAAGGTTAGAAAAAGCTAGATGTCTTTTTCTTTTACATCCTTTCTTTCCACTAAACAGGCTGCGCATTGCAATCTAGATGACTGTTTGATTTATGAGATGGATAAACGTTTAGCAAGCTGCAGTATATTGCAAATCCATTCTCCTATTTTTTCTGGAGGGGCTGTGGCTGAACCCACATTACAGAGTTATTTATGTGCCAAAAACACAATTATACATGGAAAACAAGCTTAGAAAATAGGGATTGGGTTATTCCTTTTTTTCCCTCTATCGTCTTGAATCACTGATTTAAAGCATTATTCCAAAGAAAGAGTCAGGCTGCTTCATATTACTTATGACTAAAGAAGGCAAACCGAGGATATATGTGAAATAGTTTTTTTTTTCTTTTTGCTTTTACAGTAGATATTTTCTTATGATTTTTTTTTTGTATTAGAAAGAGAATTGCCTAGATTTATAGGGCCGTTCCTGTGGCAGAGTTAATTAATAATACATCCAAATGAAATGCATAGTCTATGATGTGTCACAAGTCCCGCTGGGGTATGAACATCGAAGCTGTTCGGGGAAATTAGGCCAAGTGAGGCGGCATCTATCAGACATTCCTCGTACAGCAGACAAAAGCAGATGAAAGCAGCTCAGCTGCATCAGACAGGCTTTGATGATGAGGGTGTTAGTTTCCTAAAAAAAAAAAACGGAGTCTTCGTATTTACATCAAAGCTCTCCTACTGAAGCTTAAACTGGGTTAATGATGTTTCAACTTTTTTCTGTGTTACTGGGTTAAGATCTCCTCGTTCAAATGTAAGGAGCACAGTTGTGGATCCGTGTGTCTGATAAGAATGCTGTACATTTTTCCTTCTTTTTCATTCACAGCTTACAAAGAGAAGATGAAGGAGATTTCCGTCCTCTCGCTCATATGCTCCTGTCTGTACCCTGAGAGCCGAAAAAACATTTTGGGGGACTTTGAAGGTAGGAGGAAATAATCTGTGATAAATAAGCTTGAGCTGGTGTGAGATTCACAGGGTATACACTGCAAAAACGATCTAGAAATAAGTAAAAATGTCTTAAATTAAGTGTATTCACCCTTAATTTGAGTAGGTAAATGAGATAGTTTGCCAATGGAATGAGTATTTTTACTCTTAAAATAAAATCAGTAGATAATATGCACTTGAAATAAGACAAGACAATTGTGTTTTCTTATGTTAAGTGTAAATTGTCTTGTTCCATTGGCAAAATGTCTCTTTTACCTCCTCAATTCAAGAACAAATGCACTTATTTTAAGAAAAAATGACTTATCTAGATATAGATTTTTTTGCAGTGTACTTATGCGTACTGCTACTAAAGTAATCTATATATGTGGCTAAAAATGTTTTATAGCCGCGCTAATAGCTATTAGTGAACAGATTTGAGTTAAAATAATTAAAGCGCCAGATGAAAGTTTTTTTTTCTTTTTGAAACACGCTTTTTTGCAGATATGGATATCAAGCCAATCAACAAACGGGCATCAGGTCAAGCATTTGAGGTCATCCTTAAGCCACCCTCTCCTACATCCGATGTGGCTCACTGCATCACCAGCCCCCCAAAGAGGGACATCTCCCTGGAGGACATCCAGAAGAAGCTGGAGGCGGCCGAGGACAGGAGGAGAGTAAGGATGCTTTCTGTCGTCATGAGTGCAGCCAGCTGCCAAATGTTCAGTTTAAGAGAATTGTGTAATTCTTAAAATTTTACCCCAAATGCAGGGTTTTAAGCTCTATGTTGACTGAATGCATGTATGTGGACTCATTGATAGTCAAACCACAGTTCCAGATGTATTAAAAACACCCTTTCTGTTGTGAGATAATCCCTGCATCTTATTGATTGAAATGTCAATGCAGTGAGTCCAGCACCTGGTACCTCAGGCAATCCATCTACAAATCAATTATGTAATAATTGCCAAAATCAATAAGACTGCCTGATTGATTTCTTTCACACTAGAAAGCTTAGAAACCACAGTATCTGATCTTCAGGAAGTTAGGTAGGCAGACAGAGACAATACTGACTTATTCTAACAATGTGATTTACCATTTCATACTCGCCTAAGATATACAAGGGTTTTTTAGTAAGTTACTGAACTCATTCTCTCGGCTGCTCATCACTCTCTTCTTCTTTCAGTCCCAGGAGGCGCAGATCCTGCGGATCCTTGCCGAGAAACGTGAACACGAGCGCGAAGTGCTGCTGAAGGCCATGGAGGAGAACAGCAACTTCAGCCGCATGGCTGAGGAGAAGCTGCAGGTGAAGATGGAACAGATCGAGGAGAACCGGCAGGCCTACCTGGCGGCCATCATGGAGCGCCTGCAGGAGAAGGTGAGAGGATGAAATGATGAAACGGTAAAGTGTGGACAACTACAGGATGAAAGATTCAATCAAAACAGTGTTATTTGTTTTTTTTTTCTCTGCTGTCCACTTTCCTCCCTTGAAAAGGTAAAAGGCCTTAATAAAATCAATAAAACAACAGAAGTCTAAAGACACATTTAAGAATGAAGAATTCTTGATCCATGCCAGTTTGGAAGATTACAAGAAAGCTTTGTTGTTTACAAAAGAATACATACATACATACACACATATATATATATATATATATATATATATATATATATATATATATATATATATATATATATATATATATATATATATATATATATATATATAATATAAAATATTCAATTACATTTTTATTTGCCACTAGTAAAAAATGATATTGACTTTCAATGAAAAGGACTCCTTTAAATTATTATTTTAAAACTGGGCTTTAATAAAAGGAACCTGGAGTAGACCACCAGCAGATGGCGCTCTTTCTCAAGAGAAAGTTCAAGAAGAAACTGGACAAGAAGAACCAATTTCATTTGTGTCACTTTGTAGGAAAATACAGCAAAACCAAATAAGCAAACATAAATGTAGCAATTATACAATATCGAATATGAAAATGAGAATAAAAAAAGACATGATAAACTTAACCAGATATATATTTGTGAAGAGTTATCTACAGATTTGAGTCTGCTGCTGAAAATGTAAGATCATCGTGATTTTATTTTATATGTTGAGTGGAAATCTAAATTAAACTATCTGCTTTCCGATTTGTGGTTATGCATTATTTTTGGCCTGATAATGATGATATTAAGATATCATCTTTATATTAGAAAACCAGCAGAAATTGCTTGTGTAATTATAAAGAGGAAAAATAATAATACAGTTTGTTTGAAAAAGAAAAATTGCAGTGTCTATTCTCAACCTGTTTTAGTCTGACACATTTCACAGACAGTTTATTAAATAATACCTTTTAGCTGTGTATACATTCAGATATGAATCTAACCATTGAAGACCTGCGATGCTTGATAGAAAGCGTTATTAAACAGGTTAAGCTGAAAACTTCAGCACAATTGCCTCATAGGTTGCATTTAAATGAAAATTTCAATCCAGAAAAAGAAAATCTATATATTCACACCCAGACCACCTTTGCAATCAGCATACAGGTGTTGGTACTTTCAGACTGGTTAAAAAAATGCCCAATTATCCACACATCCACAATAGAACCTAAAATCCACAACAACAAAAAAAAACAAAAAACAGCTAGTTTATTTCTTAGTGTAATTAATATAAAATTGAGGTCATAATATTAAAGGAACATAAAACCATAAATGTTAAGGAGGGTTTAAATTATTGGAAATTATAAATTAACAGATCCTCATTTATTCCTGTAGGGTTTAAACTCTCACCTCTCTCTCTTTTTCCTAAAAAGATTAACATTAACCCCTCTTTGGCTGCCTTCAATGGCTTCAATACCTATAAAAAATAGCAATGAAGGAGCAGCTGCAACGACTAATGACTAACATTACTAAACAAATGTTAGGGATAAAATGGTAGAAACATTTAAAGATTAAGCCATAAACAATATCCTAACCTCCATCTCCCAAAAAGGAATAAATCAGTTTTGAACAACTTCAATCTATCTGGAAAAAAAAAAGAATTGCATAGGAGAACCGCAGCTGTTGCAGAGTAAGAGACGACTACAACTGTAGCAAGACAGGGCTGTCCACTAAAGCCGGGCAACATAAGAGGGAAACTGTTAGTAGAGTCATTGTAAAAGTAAGATGTTAAAAAGGTACTTTGTTAAGATAAAACTAGAGTAAAATCTTTGTTTCACTGAAAACAGACAGCAGAGTTCAGTCTGATCACCCCATATTATGTTATGGTGTGGGAACATTGAGGAGCTGGTTAGAGTTGATTGGAAGATGCATGGAGTTAAATAAAGGGAAATTATCTTAGCTGATTTAAATTAAAGCATATTAGGGCCTTAGAACAGCCCTGTAAAAATCTAGACGTACTGCGCACAGTGAAACACTCGGTAGATGAATTGGCCTGATAGAGCAGGGTAGGCGACATCTGTCCTCTAGGGCCGTAGTCCTGCCGCTTTTGCATGCATCCCTTTCATAACCCACCTGAAACAAATAAATGGTTATTGGCCAGGCCCCTGCTAAACTTACCAGTGCCAAAGAGGTAATTTATCTTTTTGTTTCAGGTGTGTTGGAGCAGGAATGCATGCAAAAGCTGCAGGATAGTGGAGAACTCAAGGACCAACGTTGCGTACCCCTGATAGATTTAACTTTTTAATAAAAGGTCTATGCTTAGTAGAAATAGCATGATCTGGAAGAGGCCACACCAGTGCCCTTCCATTTTACATTTATGTGCTTATTACTGCTGTTCTGCAGGCATCCGCTGTTTTTTTCCCCTTCAGAATGAAGAACTCAAATAAAAAAAACACAATCTGATTTTTTTTTTTTGCTTTTTTTTTCTTCAGGAGAGGCATGCTCAGGAAGTGCGCAGAAACAAGGAGCTGAGAGAAGAGTTGATGCCGTGAGAGGCCCTCAACTGCCTCTACGACCCCCCCGCCCCCACCACCTCCAGTCACCACAACCTGTCCGAGGAACACCTCCCTCCCCACCTCGCCCTACATGTCCACACCTATCCACCCGTCCCTGCTGACATCCCCCCACCCCTCCCCCTGTATTGCTACGAAACGCCCCCCTGGGATAGAGGGAGGTTCAAATAAAGTTGGGGGTGGAAAGGATTGCAAAAAAATTTGAAAAAAAGGGGGAAAACTATCATCTCCCGTCCTTAAATAAAAAAGAATGTTTTTGCTCAAACGTGAAGAAAAAAAATCCAATTGACGCCTGACAATGTTTTTTGTAAATACTTTTTTTTTGTTATATACGATTCAATACAAGCAGCAAAAGTATTGATTGCAGTGTGCCATTTTTATATAGGTTTCCTCTCCCTGCATACATATATATATATACATATATATATGGATGTGATGATCTTTTCATTTTCCCTTTCCTTCCTCTCATTTCAGCCTAAGAATGTTTGTTTTAGGTTTCTCTCGTGTGGTAACAAGCTTAGGTGTTTGTTGTGAGTTTGCCAGCTAGCTGATGTTTTGCTGTGAACAGGTTGCACCTCCCCACCATAAAAGCCTGCATGCACAAGGTGAAATAGGAGTCCTTTGCATTCACTTGCAGAAAAGTTGCTAGAAGGAAAGGTGGAAATAAGGGGTGGGTTCAATTTTGCAAGCTTGCTTTTTGTGGGGGACTGCAAGCTGTTTCCACACATCCGCTCCTGTGAAAATAAGTAGTGACTGTACTGCAGGAGAACACTATAGCATTTAAAGAGTCCGCCCTCATCCTCCTTCCCTTCATTCCCATCTCTTTTCACATAGACCGTAAAAAATCACTCACATGCTCTCCACACAGCACAGGAAAATACCGTTTGACGCGCCATTGATCTCTTAAAGCTTCCTCAATAAATGGTGTCTTTACATTGTCAGAAGCCACTGTTACATTAAGCACCACTGTTAAAGTTATCGTGCATCTTTACGACACTGGAGCTCATCCATCTCCAACTGTTACCATCATACTACGAAAAAAAACTTGCTTGATCCATCATCAACTCCTCTTGGTCTGTTCATCATCAAATCATTAAACCTTCCCCTTGAAACACAGTAAATAGTGGCACAATGAAGATATTTAAGCCATAAGAGGCATAACTGCAACAGTGATCCATGGAACACAGTATTTCTAGGAGTAAACGTAAATATAAGATGCAAGGAACGGTGCTGTACTGGGATGGTCACACACGCACAGTTGGCCCGTGGAAGTGTGTGAGTGGGTGTGTGAGTGTACTGCACTAAGACTGGATAGTTAGCGTGTTGATCTGTTTAGAAATAAAAACAAACAACAATACAGCGTGTAATGGTTGTCAGAAAGCTAGAATCAGACAGTTAGTTTCCTTCTTGACTCTTTCTCTCCTCCGTCCATTTGTGTGTTTCCTCTTCTTCCACGTATATCTTTGTGAGCAAGCAGTGGTTAATAAAGATTTGGGGTTCAGTGAATAAAACTGGCTTTGAGAGCGATTTGTCAAAAAATGTATGTATAAAATGCGTTGCGAAGTTTAACTTTGCAGATTTTTTTTTTTTTTACATGGGCGGTTCTAGACAGGGGTCAACGGGGGCCAGTACCCCTGTAGATCACGTCATGGCCCCTGTTATGGCCCCTGTACTGAAAAGATAATACTAATTCTAATGATGATATGAGCTGGAACAGATATGGTTACTGAGAGGTCCTTTGGATCATTTCATTTTTTTCCTTTTCAAATTATGTTTTACTAATTATTTAAAAACAATAAGGCAATTGCTTCAATGGTATTGAGATAGGATCCCGGTTTTCATCTGCTAAATGTTTTTTTTTTAAGAAATACTTTATTTGTTACAGCTGAATTTATCAGTTTTTCTTGAGTTCTAATTCAGATTTTTTAGAAAATGGTAATTTTAACTTAAATTAAGTGAAAAATATGTAAAATTCCTAAATTATAAATGTATATTGACCTCATAAGAAATAGAAATTTTATTAAACCTAATTAAATAGAAATTTCACTTCATCCAGCTCCGTTAATACATTTGAATCCCTTGCCCTGTTTTTTATTTCATGCTTTTCTGTGCCCCCCTTGAAAACGCTCCTGGCCCCCTCCTGGCCCCCTGGTACATTTGGTCTAGAACCGCCACTGCGTGTATCATCATGTGTATTATACTATATAATACTGGGGAGTATGCAGAAAAAATGGTTGGGGCTGCGATTTGTTGCAAGGTGGATGCTGATAACTACACCAAGAAGTCAATAGGAAAGGCAGTTCTCACGTAGCAGTCCATCACAGGGCAACAAAAAGCATTAAGTCACTCCTAAAGGGCAATTAAATGAGACTAATTAAGCCAATATCTATGGTTTTGAACTGTGCGAAGTAGTCAGACTTACTGAAGAGAATCAATAAGTGCATAAAGAGAGCAAACTCTCTTTGAAAGGAATTCCATTATACAATTTAGGGCCTTATAATCTCATCAGTGAGAGTTAGGTCGAACTTTAAGGGTATTGACACCTCTAGAGGCTAGGGATTTTTTTAAGTTTTGGAATGTTACAACAAAATTCAGGATTTAACAACCTCCTGCATTATCCTCTCCCTCCTTAGAACAGAGTATTTACTAAGGGCTTCTCAGCAGCTAGGAAAAAAATTTCTGTTTTTATACAACTTTCTAAAGAGAATAAACTTAACATTGTTGAGTGTCAAACAATACAATACCAAAAGTATTAGCTCATCCAACTCATTCTCTAAATTTTGTTCCAATGTCTTCTATCATGAGGAATTTAATGCAAAGTCACTTGACTGCATTTGGACTGCCTCTACAAACATTAGTGGGAGAAGAATTGGTATACCTGAGGTGGATATCCTGAGAGAATTTTAACACTAAAAAAACATTTTTACCTTCTTGCCCTTGCTTCATATGACTTCATCTTTGTAGTTCCTGTTTTAAACAGATGATGTCACTACAGATCAAAACTTGCCCTATTCAGAAAGTTTGGAGGTGACATTACAGGGGGATCCATTCTCCTGTTACAACAGAAATGAAACTTTAGGCCTTAATTATCTACCATCATCTGTGGTTTTATTTTGCTATAAAGTGGTAGTTATGCTAGATCTAGTTCAGGATCATGGTACAGAGGTCACACAGCCAGTAGATAAAGACCTCTAAACTACAAATGGTTTTCACTTTAGCTCACCAGCAGTGAAAGATGGTGAACCGAAGTGTCTGAGCAGGTCAATGCAGCTTCACATAACCAGATGCAATGCAAACCATCAGTCTCTAAGTTTCCATTAAAATTAACTCTTAATGCTCAGAGTTCCTTTTGAACACATTACCTTTTGGGGACAGACACCTTTCCTGTTCCAAAAGGCCAAAGCAGTTTCAGTGAATGTGTAATAGCAGGTCTGATTTGAAAGAACTTGACAGGTCGCCTTAGATAATCAAATTGATTCAAAAACATCTGTGATGAAATCAAGTGGATGATTTAAGATAGGCCTTTGTTTTTGATTTTAGAAAGAATGGTAAAAACCTCCTGTTTGTTTGGCACTCTCACTTCCCCTGAAAAATAAATGGTGTAAATAACTCATCAAGAGCCCAAGATTATTAACTCTAGTGCTATGGATAAGATATAAAAACTATGATATAGACTCTAGGTACAAACTGCTTTAATGACACTTTATTTGCTATATACAGGTCTTTCTTAAAATATTAGCATATTGTGATAAAGTTCATTACTTTCCATAATGTAAGGATAAAACTTGACATTCATATATTTTAGATTCATTGCACACTGAAATAATTCAAGTCTTTTATTTTATTAATACGGATGATTTTAGCATAAAGCTTATGAAAACCCAAAATTCCTATCTCACAAAATTAGCATATCATGAAAAAGGTCTCTAAACGAACTATGCACCTAACCATCTGAATGAAGAAATTAACTCTAAACACCTGCAAAAGATTCCTGAGGCCTTTAAAACTCCCAGCCTGGTTCATTACTCAAAACCCCAATCATAGGTAAGACTGCCGACCTGACTGCTGTCCAGAACACCATCATTTACACACTCAAGCAAGAGGGTATGACACAGAAAGATATTTCTAAACGAATAGGTGGTTCCCAGGAAATGGAAAATAATTAACTTTATCACAATATGCTAATAGTTTGAGAAGGACCTGTATTGCCCTTTTTATTTAATCACTTCTACTGGAGAAACACTTTATGGCCAGCAGAGGGAGACAAAACATAATTATTCTTTATCAAAATCTGGTTTATTGAACATGAACATAATTATAGGAAATCGAATAAAAATTGTTTGAAAACACCAAAATCCAAGAAAAGGAGGAAAAGTTTGTCTGGCCTGAAAACAGAGGGAGCAGCTGGTCTGAGCTGAAATGATGGTAAAAAGTTATTGGACTTCCTTTCTCATAGCACTTCAATGCAGCTTCCACTTTTAATGTCTTTTTTACTTCTCTTCTCTACATTTGCCTTAGCCTTTTCTTTCTTTCTTTCTTTCTTTCTTTCTTTCTTTCTTTCTTTCTTTCTTTCTTTCTTTCTTTCTTTCTTTCTTTCTTTCTTTCTTTCTTTCTTTCTTTCTTTCTTTCTTTCTTTCTTTCTTTCTTTCTTTCTTTCTTTCTTTCTTTCTTTCTTTCTTTCTTTCTTTCTTTCCCTCCTCCAGTTCCCACGGAGCACACGGGTCCGTCCGGGCCTGCTATTGTCCAGGATATCCCCGCCTTGTTAATGGTTTCCTGTGCACACACAGAAGGCTGCTGAGAGAAACAAGCAGCCGCATCTGATACCAGTCGTCGATACTGCGCTCACATGAAAACAAACACACACACATTCCTAGCCAGGGGGTGGAAAAACAACTGCAGGCATCAACAAGCAAACATACTGCAGATTGCACTCACTGGAACAGACAACAATGAATCCATGTTTATCATAATAAACTGTTTATTGCAGGGCAGCTGTCTATAAACAGCAGCATCAGAAATGGAAAACTGAAAACTCTAATTTATTGGCGCGTGTTTGTATTCTGTACAACCATTAACCAAGCTAAATGTTGATATACCTAAATGTCAACAAAATTAGTCACTTAAAAAAAAAAAAAACAATGCGGTTGTGTTTCTTTGAAACTGATTTCACAGAGAGTTTTATAATTATTGCTGACAATGCTGTTACACTCAACAAATAAATGCACGTAAATAATTGAAGACAAGGTGAAAACAGAAACAAACATTAATTTACAAATCGTTGACGCGAAGTGAATCGGGACTAAAAAACACTTTGAGAAATGATGTGATAATGCTCAAATGAAACCGAGATGGCCTTAATACTTTCATTTTGAAATATTTCCATGGTTGTAATAATAAACAAGGAAATTCCTGAAAAATAACAGGAAGATATGATGAATAAACCTAACCTTATTCACATCTGAACAAAAGAAGCAAATGTGAAGATTTACATCAGGAAGAAGACATCAATTTGGAAGACGGCTTGGATAATGGTGCACCGATTAGTTGAGTCAGGCTGGTATCTTTGTTCCCAGTATTCAGTCAAACAGACACCTGGTTTCAGTTATTACACCCAACAAAATGCTGTTAATGCGGGTGGGGAGGTGGGTCCCTATCATACCTGTCCCTCCCCAGTGTAGCCAGGTCATCGCTTTTGTTTATGCAGTTCAGGCTAACAACAAAGAGGGTGTATGGCATTATGGGGGACACTTTTACCAAGTAACTTGCTATACCATCTGGTAAAGCCATTGCTCATCAGCTGTCAGCACTGGGATAGTGCTCAATAAATCACTGTTTAGTTGAAATTTTCTGACTTGAGTCATACTTCATATGTCTTTATATATAAAAAAGCAGAATTTTAAATCTATTAACTATCCTCTGTGGGATTCTACCAAAATAGAAAAGATATAACACTTTCTTATCAGGGAACATAAAGTCTTGTCATTGAGTCCGGCTCAACTGGGAAGTGAAAGTCTGTGTAAGCGTGTACTGAGTTTTTTTTATCTCAGTCAGAAAGCTCCTATCTCCATCCCCCAGGGTCTGTAGGGTTTGCCCACGCTGGAGCTCTGAGCTGGAGGGCTGATGGCAGTGGTAGGGGAGATGATAGGGAAGGCACCGAAAGCAAAGGGGAACGCTGAAAGTGAGGAGAGAAGGGGAGGGGAGAGCTTAGACGACGGAACCAAAGCGGGGTGCAGGACAGTGGTGGGAGCTGTAGAGGTGGATGGAACCCTGATCGGACCCTGATCCGAGAGCGGGGTGGCGCTGCCGCTGCGTCTGCCTGGTACGTGAGTCTCTGCGACTAATGAGGAGGATGTAGGGGAGGTGGAGGAGGAGGGTGATGTGGAAGACGTGGACGACAGGGGATTCTGCGGGCTGCTGGTGGTGCTTCTGGGCAGAGGTGCTAAAGGAGCCCCCTGTTGGTGCTGAAGGAGGATGGGATGTGGGAGGTGGGCAGGAGGAGATCCAAAGGCAGAACCCCACGCCAGGTGACTGAGGCCAGTGTGAGCCTCTCGCTGGCTAGCGTAGTTATTCAGGTGAGAGACAAGGCGGATCCGGAGAGGGTCTGTGCTGTCCAGGCCCTCAATGATGCTAAGATAGCGAGCCGTCTCAGCCAGGCACTCCCTGAAACCCAAACCGCGGTAGTCCATCGCCAGAGCATGGGCGTCAAAATAACCTGGAGATATGGGGAAAGGGAACATTATAAATCTGAACAAGTTTAGGCAAAACTAAAGAGAGAATATTCTCACCCAAGTCAGGTTTAAAAATATGTTCTTTTTAAAAGTCTGAAACGTCTGTGCTAATTTGACATATACTGAAAAACCTAATATATATATATATATATATATATATATATATATATATATATATATATATATATATATATATATATACACACACACACAACAGCTGCTAAGTAAGTTTTATATCTTTTACATTTTAATGAAATCAGACAGAGCTGCTATCAGATAAATAAACTTAGTTAGCAACCACATTTTTTGAAAGTGCCCACAAATTTTAAGAGATGTAAATAATTGATACATTCCAATATGCTAATTAATATCGCATTAACACAATAATTAAGCTGATTTAACTTAAATAACTATTGATAGTACAAAGGTCTACAACAATGGGAGGTCTGAAATTGCTTACAAAAATTCTGATTTGGCTGTTGGAATTAATGATGCATAATGGCATTTGCAATCCATTATATATAAAAAAAACTAAAAGTTGCAAATCCATAAACAGCTGTCTACTTTTTCTCTTATTTGCTATTTACAAAGTTTGTGTTTTTTTACTCTCCAATTCTGTAGCTGCAGAAGGAATTATAAACCAAACAGTAACAAATGGAGAAGACTAGTTTTCCCTCAAATTATCAGATTTTTCATTATTATTTATTTATTTTTGAAAGATCAAGATAGAGTCCAGGAAGCATTTTGTTATATATTTAGATTACTATTTTCTATTCAGCCAGAAATAATCTGAGCTCTGGAACCTCCAGCTGAAAGTAATAACCCTCTAAAATATGTATTGTTATGTCTAAGAATAATAATAAAAATTGATCACTGTTATCATTTTTAGATTCTCACTGTCCTTGCACTCTTTTCCATTTTATAATTTAATAGTCTTTCTTGACGCTTAAATGAGACAAGATGTCTCCTCCAATATTTTTAATAAAGTCCATCTTGCGAAAGTTTAAGGTTTTACATACAGAAGTAATCACTTGTTTGCATAATCCTTGTTTTTTATGATATAGGTGTTTTAGTGAAAAAATGGAAATCTAAATGAGTCATTTTTGCTTACATTAAGTGCATTTTCTTGAATTGTGGAGGTAACTGAGATACTTTGCAAATGGGGCAAGACAATTTACATTTAAAATAAGAAAAAAAATACTTTGTCCCATTTCAAGTGCATTCTATCTAAGTATCTTGTTTTGGGAGTAAAAATGCTCATTCCATTGGCAAATCATCTTATTTAGCTACTTAAATTAAGGGTAAATACACTCAATTTAAGAAATTTTTTACTTAATTCAATATGGTTTTTGCAGTGTAGTTTAGGTCAAAAGGCCTATAGTGTTAGACCTGTAACAGACCAATAATAACAAATAAATAAACGAAAACAAATCAGAAGTGTTTGTGTATTTACCTTTGCCTCCAGCAGCATGAAGCATCTTGAGATGATCAACAGTCATCTGCAAAATTTCTGCTTTCTCAAGTTTTGCTGAACCCTTGAGGATCAATGAGATAAAAAAAAAAAAAAACGAATTGTTTAGATCCAAAAAGCACCTAATAGCAGTTTTGTTTAATGCATTAAATTTTGCAAAACATTTTTTTTTTTATTGGTTTAGTGGGAGTTGTGTGAGGAGCGCTCACCTGCTTCTCGTAGGCGCTGGGAACCAACCTGCGGAGTTCGCTCAAGCTGTTATTTATCCTGTCCCTGCGCCGCTTCTCGATAATCTGACAAATCAATAAAAATGCGTCGTTAGAAAACAGCCTTAATTGCTTTAATTGACCCGATCAGTTCAGACAGTCTGATTGACTTACGCCTCTGCGCCTTTTTCTCGCCTGCACCTGAGTGGATGTCGTTGGAGACATGGATCCGAGAGGGGAACTTATATTCCTTAAAACAACAACATAAAATGAAATGTTAAATCTAAAGTAATTGTCATGTTTATCAGATTAAAGGCTGATAAACTTCAGCTTACCCATGCTCGTCCGCGCTCTCCTTCTCCACTTCAATGGTTTCATCCAGTTCGCTGTCCGATGAGCTAAAATCGTGATTCCTTTTCATTTTCACGGGTTTTCAGAGTATTCCCCTCGGTGTGTCGGGTAGGTCTGCCAGACGTGCGTGTGCACAGGTTCGCCCGGAGCGACTCGGTTTGAAGCGCTCCGCTTTCCCACGGTGTCATTTCAACGCTGCTGTCCGACAACGGGGGCGGGGGGCTGGTGCTGCAGGGAGCCAATCACAGCACAGCCTGGGCTTTGATTGACAGCACCCCTGGACGAGACCTGAGAGGGGAGGAAGAGTTCAGACGTATCACTCCGGGGACTATTTAGAAGCATTTAAAGCGAATAAAATTATAATTTCCTTAGGAAACCTTTAAAAAGAGACATTGAATACACAAAAAGCATAACTAACTGTTAATTTGGACAGTGTTAGTAGGCAGATGCAGAGTGACTAAACAAAATCCTTTAAAATAACAACGCAGAACTACAAAGAATGCACATCTGCAACATAATCATTTCGGAGACGCACTACAAGTAGAAATGACACAGCAGTGTGGTTTGTGGTCGTTTTGAGTTTCTTCAACTCGGGAGTTTTTGAGGAGTTTGGGGGCTCTTTGTTTCACAATCAGACCATGATGGGACCACAGGTATTTTTAACTTCTAAAAAAAAAAAAAAAAAGCAGAGCCGCTATTCCTGCCATTTAGATCTATTTCTGTTCAAACATTTTAAATCTGCAGCCATATTCTTTTCTGCATGTGTGGCATCTGTTATATAGCAGCTATTACTGTTGCTGAACATGAACTGAGTACAAGCCTTTATAATGCTAGTGGAGAAATTTATTTTTTATTATTATTTTTGTAAAAACTAACTTTTAATCTGAGTCTGACTTTTTAAAATGACTAAATTGATTATGCCAGGCAAAACAGCTGTTTTTCAGACACAAACTCTCATGATATTAACTATTATTGTTAATTACCAAAAACTGTATATTTTGTTTCATTTTAATATATTTATTTCCAAAGGAAAGGAAAATTGTACTTGCCTTGTTTTAGCCAGCTTAACCTTTCTTTAGGGATGTTGATCCTTTCCTTTTCTTAAGGTAGCTGCAGGCTATATTTTCTTCAAGTTGATGGCTGATTTAGGAAAGTTTTTCCTTATGTGTTGAACATAATGCAAATGCATAATATTGCTACTTGTTAATTACATAAAGGATAATATGGAAATAATAAAATTTTGAATGCATTTTACAATGCTTCTTCATGGAAAATGTCCTCTTATATCGCTTGCTGGGATAATCACCCTGAGCTCTGATCAAAAAGGAATTCTTATGTATTTGTGTTAACTTCAGTGTAAATCTCAGTAATCGTGTGAAAAGAAAACACATTTGTGGGTTTAAACAACATTAAATGAGAAAAAGGTCAGATTTCTATTTTTTTGATGCGACATACTGATAATAAAAACCCACTACTTATTACAGGACAACACAGCTATGAATCCAGCTTACATGCAAACAGTACTCATTTTTTAGTAACCTTTCTGTGTCAAATCAGCAACTAACTTCAATTTGAGAAAAGATGGATGTAAATAATGTAACAGAACTGATGCAGAGTTGTTGTAAATTGAATTAGGAGGCAGATTTTCTAAGATTGTCCTTCTTTCTGCTCCTTTTCATTCATGATGCATTGATTTGGGTATGTGTCTATGCCGTGTTTATGAATTGTAAAGTTATGTTTTATTAAATAAATTGAATAAAATAAAAGTTTTTTTTTTTTACTGTTAGTCTTCCTTTTTTGCAAACCCTTGTGCTGCTCCTCGATGGGGCGGCACCTTGGCCAACGAGCCGCATAATCAATACCAAAAGCTGACGTTGTGATAAAAGAACAGACAAACTTAAAATAAATCATCTAGCATAAGGTTGGAACAATTAGATCATGTGAAAAAAGAATGTTCTGCATTTTATTAAATGTAAGAAGTAAGGAGAGTCCTGAAACAACTTTTCCATTTTCATTATGATACTGATATTGTCGCTTTGAGAAATATAACCGATACCGATATTGACCCGATACAATATCAGCACATACAAAACCAGATTTTATGACTTATTTTGTAATGTTAGTAAATGCTTGATCAAGTGATGTTGCTAAAACAGAGAACAACAGTCAACAACAGTAGGTACACTATATTGCCAAAAGTATTTGCTCACCCATCCAAATTATTGGAATCAGGTGTTCCAATCACTTCCATGGCCACAGGTGTATAAATTCAAGCACCTAGGCATGCAGACTGTTTTTAAAAACATTTGTGAAAGAATGGGTCGCTCTCAGGAGCTCAGTGAATTCCAGCGTGGAACTGTGATAGGATGCCACCTGTGCAACAAATCCAGTCGTGAAATTTCCTCGCTCCTAAATATTCCACAGTCAACTGTCAGCTGTATTATAAGAAAATGGAAGTGTTTGGGAACGACAGCAACTCAGCCACGAAGTGGTAGGCCACGTAAACTGACGGAGCGGGGTCAGCGGATGCTGACGCGCATAGTGCGAAGAGGTCGCCAACTTTCTGCAGAGTCAATCACTACAGACCTCCAAACTTCATGTGGCCTTCAGATTAGCTCAAGAACAGTGCGCAGAGAGCTTCATGGAATGGGTTTCCATGGTCGAGCAGCTGCATCCAAGCCATACATCACCAAGTGCAATGCAAAGCGTCGGATGCGGTGGTGTAAAGCACGCCGCCACTGGACTCTAGAGCAGTGGAGACGCGTTCTCTGGAGTGACGAATCGCGCTTCTCCATCTGGCAATCTGATGGACGGGTCTGGGTTTGGCGGTTGCCAGGAGAACGGTACTTGTCTGACTGCATTGTGCCAAGTGTAAAGTTTGGTGGAGGGGGGATTATGGTGTGGGGTTGTTTTTCAGGAGCTGGGCTTGGCCCCTTAGTTCCAGTGAAAGGAACTCTGAATGCTTCAGCATCCCAAGACATTTTGGACAATTCCATGCTCCCAACTTTGTGGGAACAGTTTGGAGCTGGCCCCTTCCTCTTCCAACATGACTGTGCACCAGTGCACAAAGCAAGGTCCATAAAGACATGGATGACAGAGTCTGGTGTGGATGAACTTGACTGGCCTGCACAGAGTCCTGACCTCAACCCGATAGAACACCTTTGGGATGAATTAGAGCGGAGACTGAGAGCCAGGCCTTCTCGTCCAACATCAGTGTGCGACCTCACAAATGCGCTTCTGGAAGAATGGTCAAAAATTCCCATAAACACACTCCTAAACCTTGTGGACAGCCTTCCCAGAAGAGTTGAAGCTGTTCTAGCTGCAAAGGGTGGACCGACGTCATATTGAACCCTATGGATTAGGAACGGGATGTCACTTAAGCTCATATGTGAGTCAAGGCAGGTGAGCAAATACTTTTGGCAATATAGTGTATGAGAACAACTGACCTATGTAATAATAACCAATGGGTTACAGAAACTATAAATAGAGTATTTCTACCAGCTTGTTAATGTCGGAAATTTTAGATGCTGGCCGATATAATCTGATATGACTTTTTTGGTTAGCATCAGATCAATATATGGTATTAATAGCAGATTCTGCATCACACTGATAACACAAAACCAAAAATATTGCATATTTGCACGATATATATTAATGCTCTAAACTTCCATATCAATGAATTTTTTGCACCATGTTTTTTTTCTTTCACACTGTTTACATTTGATCACTAATGCACTTTATCGCATGCAATTGTTCATTTACTGCCTGGAAAGCTGTACTAAATGAAATTTCATTTTGTATACACTATGTGTATACAAAATAACAATAAAAGTTGTCTAAGTCTAAAAATCTAAGTCAGACCTGGACACCTCTAAATGTTTGCCACGTTTCTAATGTCCCAAACATATCTATGAATCAAACTAGGTCATATTGATCTAATTGATTTTTTTTTTTCAGGATGATTTTAGATGGGAATTTAATCAGTTTGGTCTTTTTGTATTTTTTGTTTTTGTTTTTCAGTGTCATACTCATACGGAAGAGGATTAGGGCCGTTGAAAAACAAAAAAGTTATCTTATTTTTAAATTTTATTTCAGTATAATAGGAGAAAAAAAGTGAGAATTCTGACTTTAATCTCAGAATTCAGACTTTTTTTTCTCAGAAATTAAAGTGTAAATTCTGACTTTAATCTCAGAATTCAAACTTTTTTCTCAAAATTCTGACTTTAATCTCAGAATTCTTACCTTTTTCCTCAGAATTCCGACTTTAATCTCATAAATCTGACTTTATTTTCTCAGAATTGACTTTTTTCTCAACATTCTGACTTTAATCTGAGAATTCTGACTTTTCCCTCAGAAATAAAAGTCATAATTCTCAGATTAAAGTCAGAATTCTGACTTTTTTCCATATTAAACTGAAATCATATTTAAAAATCAGTTACCTTTTTTATTTTTTCCAGTGGCCCTAATCCTCTTCCGTATACTAATTAGTACCATGCATGCAGCAATGAATTTTATTGTAATATCTTTATTTAAAATTTTATTTCACAGTTTAGTTTGGGACTTTTTTCAGGGTGTGTTAGTGGCTGATCATTCCAAACATAGAGGATCTTTGAAGAAACTTTGACAGCGGTCCAGTAGACGGTCCAGTGCCCCCACCCCCCTTCTCCACCCTTTCCTCCTCCACACAGTGTGTGTTGCTGTGTTGTGAGTGTGTGTGTGTCCCGGTGGTGACGAGGAGTGGCTGGCCGGCTGTCAGCACGCGCTGGCCGTGGGAAAGTTCCTTAACCGGTGCTGATAACCAATCAGAGGCCGACGGCCGTCTCCGGCGCAGGAATGAATGGAGCAATTGGTCGGGGCGACGGGCGGTCTGAGAGCGAGCGTGTGAACCTGTAATCCAATACTAACTCAGCCCGGGAGGACAGACAGAGGCAGCGCTGCCGCAACCAGAGGAAGCCACCACGTCTAATCTTACCCCACAGAGAGACCTCATGCACGGTGGAGACTCTCTGGCCACTTCAAGGGCTCAGTCCTGTAGCCCCCCCCATCTACTTCTCCCCGGAGTTTCAACATCATCACCGCAGCGCGACTGCTGGCTCCTATAGTGCTCACACACACCCACCCACCAAAAATCATTTGACAGATTCGCTGCTGTGTGTTTGTATACATGGAGGAGTCGTGTTTCTTCGTGTAGAGCTGACTGC